TATCAGTGTGGTGGAACTAAAGTGGATCCATCTCGAGGAGTCCTTAGTGTCTCCTCAGCCTTGCCTTCCTCTACCAGTTAGACAATGCTCCCAACCTATTTCATAGTGAGCTCTACTCCCAACATACTCACGCATACCCAAGACATTATACCACCATCTCTTCCTCCTTCAGTGATTTATTATATACATACACACACACATATCTGCATGTATGCCTGCAGACCAGAAGAGGGCACCAGATCTCACTATGGATGGTTGTGAACCACCATGTGGCTGTTGGGAATTGAACTCAGAACCTCTGGAAGAGCAGCCAGCGCTCTTGAGCACTGAGCCATCTGTCCCGCCCCTCCTCCTTCAGTTCTCTGGTTCTTCATGTGTATGTGTGTACCTGCATGAGTACCACATGCATGCAGAAAGCCCTAGGAGGCCAGGAGGCAGTATCGGATCCTGGGAGCTGAACCCAGGTCTTCTGCAAGAGCAGCCAGTGTGTTTAGCCTCTGAGCCGTGTCTCCAGGCCCTGCACACTACTCTTAGTGCTTAGGTTTACATGATCCACATGGGATTATCTGCCCATTTGAACTTCATTTGCTTCTCTTTTGTCTTGATTTTTGAGACAGGGTCTCACTCTGTGGTCCAGGTTTGCCTCAAACTTGCAGCAATCCTTCTGCCTCGGCTTTCTACATGCTGGGATTATAGACATAAGCCACCAGGCCAGGCTCTCCCCATTCACTTGAGACACTGTCACCGGCTCTTAACCTAGCGTCACAGTTTTCTTGGAACCCGGACCAAAGAAACAGTCTGCTCCAAACTCTCCAATTCCCCAAGACAGTCATGTTGTTCTCCTCTAGTCTAAGCCTGGAATGTAACATTTTCAGGATTCTTAGAATATCTGAGCTGGAGGAGCTTAGAACCCTGGCAATACCCTGCTTCTTGGCTCGGGGCCCAGATTCCTAAGAATTCCAAGTGGAAGAAATGGGGTCTAATGCTTGTCACATTTAGTTTCCCAAATCAATATGTATTTTATAATCACAAAACAGTGCATGCTCAATGCAGGAAACGTGGGGAAAATGAAGAAGACTCTTAGGGAATTAAGATATCTTCCATGCTCACTGAGACTTTAGCCTCAGGATTTCACTGCCTGGCACAGGTAGATACTCATTTGTTCAATTATATTCAGCTCATCACCCAGAGATTAAAAACCACAATTAGGTTTTGATTGCGTAGCCTTCCAGGCTTTCACACACGTTTTTATGCAGAGGGAATCATGTTAATAAGTAGCTCTGTAGCTCGCCTTTTCTCCTCTCTTGACATTATACTTGCTATGAGTATTTTCCCATTTGATAGCTTTTTAGAATACACACACACACACACACACACACACACACACACACACACACGGAGAATGAAAGAATTCAAAGGGAGGGACGAGGTGGCGGTGTACAATGCCTGGGGCACACTTGGTCTTGGGTATGTTTGAGTTGTGACCAGCTTTTGAGTAGTTTTAGGTGTGGGAGAGAGGGCTATATATATATAGTTTGTTTTTGTTTTTTGAAACAGGGTTTTTCTGTATAGCCCTGGCTATCCTGGAACTAGCTCTGTAGATCAGGCTGGCCTTGAAATTACAGAGATCTGCCCGCTTCTGCCTCCCAAGCACTGGAACTAAAGGTGTGTACCACCATATCCGGCTGAACGTTTTTTTTTATATTTTAAAATTTTATTTTTTGGGGCTGGAGAGATGGCTCAGAGGTTAAGAGCACTGACTGCTCTTCCAGAGGTCCTGAGTTCAATTCCCAGCAACCACATGGTGGCTCACGACCATCTGTAATGAGATCTGGTGCCCTCTTCTGGCCTGTGGACATACATGCAGACAGAATACTGTACACATAACAAATAAATACATCTTTAAAAAATTTATGTTTTATATGCATAGATGTTTTGCCTCTGTCTGTGTACCGCATGTATGTCTGATGTCTGAGAAGGTCACAAGAGGGTATCTGATCCTCAGAACTGGAGTTGCAGACAGTTATGAGCAATCATGTGGGTAGTGGGAATTGAACCTGGGTCCTTTGGAAAAGTAGCCAGCATTTTTTAAAATAATTATTTAATTTTATGTGCATTGGTGTGATGGTGTCAGATCCCCTGGAACTGGAGTTACAGACAGTTGTGAGCTGCCATGTGGGTGCTGGGAATTGAACACGGGTCCTCCGGAAGTGCAGTCAGTGCTCTTAACCACTGAGCCATTTCCCCAGCCTCCAAGTAGCCAGCACTCTTAACTAATAAACTATCTCTCCAGCCCACTCCCTGTTTAAAAAATATTTATTTTTATTATTTTAAAACTTGTGTGTATCTCATAGTGAGTTCCAGGACAGCCTCCAAAGCCACAGAGAAACCCTGTCTCAAAATCCCCCCCACCCAAAAAAATTGTGTATCTGTATGAGAGATGGCTGGGGAGTTCAGAGGGCTCCAGCTTTCCCAGAAGACCAGGGTTTGATTCCCAACATCCATACCTGGTGGCTACCACATGCATACTCCAGCTCCTAAGAGACTCCCAGCATCCACACCAGGTGGACACATCTGCCCATGACTCCAGCTCCAGGGACATCTTTTCTGGACTCTGGGCACTGGCATTCACATGTACACATACCCCACTCCCATGTATACATACCCTCCCATGTGAACATATGTTTTTTAAAGATGAAAATCTTGGGAGTGCAAAACTGTACAGCTGCTATGGAAATCAATATGGTAATTTCTCAGAAAACTAGAAATCAATCTACCTCAAGACCCTACAATACCACTCTTGGGCATACACCCAAAGGAGGCACAGTCATATTATAAGGACATTCACTCAACTATGTTCACAGCAGCGTTATTTGTAATAACCAGAACTTGGAAACAACCCAGATGCCCCTCAGCCGAAGAGTGGATAAAGAAAATGTGGTACATTTACACAATGGAGTACTACTCATCAGTAAGAAACAATGACATCTTGGAATTTGCAAGCAAATATATAGAACTAGAAAAAAACATCTTGAGTGAGGTAACCACACATAAAGCAAAGTGTAACCAGCCTACAGTCCACAACCCCAGAGAAGCTAGATCCCTCTTCCAGGAACAGATGGAAGCAGATGCAGAGATCTATAACTAACCATTGGGCCAACCTGGGCGAGTACAATCTAAGTGAGGGAGAAGCGATATCATGAACAAAGGAGTCAAGACTGTGGTGGGAAACCTGCAGAATCAGCTGACCCTAGCTAGTGAGAGGCCACTGACTGCACTGTCAACTGGGGAACCCACATAGGACTGAACTGTGTGTGACCCCTGAATACCTTGGTCCTAACTCCACGAGGTGATGGAACAGACTTAGTTGACATCCTAGGGAAGGCCTTACCCTCTCTGAGCAGCAGATGGGAGGTGGGATTTGGGATGGAGGGAGGGAGGGAGAACTGCAATTAAAATGTAACAAATCAATGAATAAAAAGTAAAAAATGAAAGTCTTTTTTTAAAGATTTATTTATTAAATATACAGTGTTCTGCCTGCATATATCCCTGCACACCAGAAGAGGGCACCAGATCTCATTACTGATGGTTTTGAGCCACCATGTGGTTGCTGAGAATTGAACTCAGGACCTCTGGAAGAGCAGCCAGTGCTCTTAACCTCTGAGCCATCTCTCCAGCCCCCAAACTGTTTTTTTTTTTAATGAAAGTCTTTAAAGAGAGATTCCTGATACATATTGACAAAATGTTCCAATTTGCCTTACAGGAGTATACCCAATTCTTCAAGTCCTAAGGAAAATGTAGAACATCCTCTTTTTGATAAGGTAATGCAGTTAACACATCAAAGCTTTTGCCTTTAATCAGAATGGTAGAGGGGGGAGGTGCGGGAGGGCTGAGGGGAGTGGAGGAAAACTGTGGCCAGAATGTTGTGTATGAGAGAAAAATTAAACAAAACAAAACAAAACAAAAACCCTAGCCGGGCCGTGGTGGCTCACAACTTTAATTCCAGCACTGGGGAGGCAGAGGCAGGTGGATCTGTGATTTCCGCCTGGTCTACAGAGCAAGTTCCAGGACAAGCTCCAAAAGCTACACATGTCTCGAAAAACCAAAATAAATAAGCAAATAAATAAATACCAAAAAAACCTCCAGTAAACTCAAAGCACCACTGCTGACTCCTTACCTGAAGCTAGTTTGTGATCAAGCTTAGATCAGTATGGAGAGAGAGAGAGAGAGAGAGAGAGAGAGAGAGCGAAGACTGCGGAACATAGCTGTAGAATGATAGTCTAGTATGCATAAATGGGTTCCATCCCAGCACCTCGTAAGCCGGGTATGATGCTGCGAGACCAACTTCAGCGTTTGGAAGCTGGAGGCAGGAGGATAAAATCAAGGCCAGCCTACATTATAGGACTCCCAACAAAAAATAAAATGGATGCCGGGCAGTGGTGGCTTCAATCCCATCACTCGGGAGGCAGGCGATCTCTGTGAGTTGGAGACCAGCCTGGTCTAGAGAGCGAGTTCCAGGACAGCCAAGGCTACACAGAGAGACCCTGTTGTGAAAAACCAAAAATAAAATGAGGAAACATACAGTAACTTAAAACTTGCTCACTTTTGTCTACATCTCAAAGTTCCTAGTTAGCGAAAGCCCTGGGAATGACTGGCCAACCGCTTCCCCGTCTGACACCGGCTCAGGACACGGTCTGCACCGTACTTATTCCCACATTCCCAATTCTGCAGTTAGACACCGAGGCCCTGTCAAAGTCTGCATTTTGGAGTCTCTTGTCTGCGTGTTCAGACGGCTGTGCCACCTTCGCGCCTCGCAGAGGTCTGTGCACACTGGGCACACGTGGCATTCGCGCCACCTCGGAGCGCACCTGTAGCGCCGCCCTGGCGGGTGGGGCGGACACTGGCAGACCGGACACGCAGCGAGCCGCTGGCTGGCTGCGCATGCTCTGTGTTCGCGCTCTGATCCCGGGCCGCACCTCCGCGGCCCCGCCCCCGAGCGGTTGGAATTTGAATCTCCGGCGCGAACGACGCTGCCAGGAAGCCTGGAACCCTGGGTCAGGCATGGAGAGCCCAGACTCGGTCTCGCGCTGCCCGGTGCGACAGCAGCGTGCTCGTTGGGAACGGAAACGTGTCTGCACCGCTCGGGAGCTGCTGGAGACCGAGCGGCGCTACCAGGAGCAACTGGGGCTGGTGGCCACGGTGGGGCGCGGAGGGGGTGTGGGAGGGTCTCAGACCTTGCTTCCCCAGGGTTAGGAGTTCAGACGGAGGTCTGCAGTTTCTGACTGCACCTCGACGTTGACTTCCTCTTGCCACAGACTAAGAAAACTTTTTTTTTCCCTTCACAGTACTTCCTGGGAATCCTGAAAGCCAAGGGGACACTACGACCACCAGAGCGCCAGACTCTGTTTGGGACCTGGGAGCGCATCTATGCTGCTAGCCTGTGAGTGGAAGCGTTGTAGGGAGGGAGACCTCCGGGCAGACTCAGAAAGGCCAAGTTCATCTGCCAACTTTCTCACCTGTGGCCTTGGCCCAATGCCTTAACCTGCCTGTGCTCCAGCGGTAAAATGGGATAATAGCAGTACCTTCGAGGCAGGGTGCATGGGAAGCATGTAAGTGCTTGAGTAGTTGTTGGCCTGCCCCTTAACTGTCCTTTGCCCACACAGAGAGCTGCTTCCCTACTTGGAAGAGGGACACTGGGGGCCGGGACTAGAGGGCTTCTGCTCGCACCTGGAGCTCTACACCCAGTTTGCTGCCAATGCTCAGAGTGCCCAGACCACCCTTCGGGTAACTCCCCGCCCCGCCCCCTCAACCTAGTGTTCAGCATTTAGAGCCCAGCTCTTTGCTAACATCCTAGGAGGACTAGGTTACCCTCAGGAGCGCACAGCTCGCGGAAGGCTGTGCACACAGATGAATGTGATATTAAGAGTGGCCGCTCTCCCTCTCGGTCCAGGAGCTGCTAAAGAAGAATAAACGTTTTCGGAGGTTTGTGCAGCTTCAGGAAGGCCGCCCTGAATTTAGGGGTCTTAAGCTTCAGGACCTGCTCCCTCTGCCTCTGCAGCGACTCCAGCAGTGAGTGAACCCCCCTAGGCTGGAATTATCTCAGGCTGCATAACTGCTGCCTGCAGCTTTGTGGGGGCGCCGTAGGTTCTATCCCAGCTCTGCCTTTCTGGGCCCAATTACGTTTAAGGAGCCTTTACCAGAGGAAATGTGGACCCTCAGGGGTGCCCAGGGTCTGCAGCCTCAGACTGGGGCTGTGGGAACCTGCACTAAGGCCTGGCACAGGCTATCTGGAAAAGCTCACTGGGATGAGGGGTTAGCCCAGTCTGAAGTTCTATCCCAGGGCTCCTCGGTTGTCTGTGGTAGCCTCCTTGGTTTGATTAACTTCTAACTTCTGACCCAGCCTCCTGAACTAGTCTGCCACTGGCTCTTCAGTGTGGGATGGAAGTGGCCCGCTCAGTGAGCCCAGATTCTGAGCCCCAGGTTAGAGGGGCCCCAGAGAAGCCAGGCCTTTCCCGACCTTATAACTAAGGCATGAACGTCTGGGGGCTGATCTTCAGGTCATATGAAAGCAGGGCATTTTTCCTGCCTCTACTTCTCTTCCTCACTTTCAACTGTCCCCTTCCAGGTATGAGAATCTCGTGGTGGCTTTGGCTGAAAACACAGTTCCCAACAGCCCTGACTGCCAGCAGCTCACACGTACGTTCTTGTTCTTCTCCAACTCAGGCAGAGGCTGCCTGTCCCGAACGCCTTTCTGGTTCTGACTTCCAACAATGTCTGGTGTGTCCCACCTTCATTCCATGTATAGTGTCCCTAAGTGCCCTGCTTTTGCTTCAAGAAGCTAGAACCTGACCCAGGCCCCCTCCAGACTAGCTCGCCTTTTCCTACCAGTAGCCGCTCGAAGCTACACTTGTGTTGGCAGTGAGGTAGGGGATGTTGTTCCAGGGGCTGCCCGCCGGGTGACTGAGACTGCCCAGAGAGTCCATGCCATTGGCCAGACCCAGAAGAATGACCAGCACCTCCTGCGTGTCCAGGCTCTCCTCAGTGGACGCAAGGCAAAAGGGCTCACTTCAGGTAGACTGTGGCCTCTGCCCTCCAGTCCTCAATTGCCCCTTGCTCACTCACTCCTCTTCCTCTACAAAGCCAGCACATTGGGCCGGCAGACGGCTCAGGTGGATGAACCTTAATCCCGGAACCCACATAAAGGGAGGAGGAGAGAAGGGACTCCACAGAGTTGTCCTCTGCCCTCCACATGGACACACAGTAATTAAAAACAAACCACCCAACCATAGCCAGCATGCTACCTCCCAGCGCTGGATTCCCCCTGCCCTTCTCTTGTGTTCTCACGGATGCCTGAGCTGTACCAGAATAATGGCACTCTCATTTTCTAGGACGATGGTTCCTACGGCAGGGCTGGCTTTTAGTGGTGCCTCCCACCGGGGAGCCTCGGCCCCGCATGTTCTTCCTCTTCTCTGATGTGCTCCTCATGACCAAGCCTCGACCCCCATTGCACCTGCTCAAGAGTGGCACCTTTGTCTGCAAAGCCCTGTACCCTATGTCCCAGTGCCAGCTTAACAGGGTCTTTGGCCACTCGGGAGGAACTTGTGGAGGTTTGCTCAGTGTAAGTTGTAGGTGGGAAATCTGGGCCCCAAGTATACTTCAAGCACTTACAGACCAACAAATCACTTGGCCTGGGTCCCTTTTCATGAAAGTAAAGGGATTGTTGGGGCTAAGGTTTCATATTTAGTCATCATCTTATCCCTGAATTCACGCCGTGGTACCAGTGGGGGCTTCAGCCTGACTTGTTCTGAACTACAGTGGTTTCTCCCTAGCTGTCCTTCCCTGATGAGAAGCTACTGCTTATGTCCACTGACCACGAGGAGATGTCACAATGGTACCACAGCCTGGCTGTGGCTATCAGGTAAACTGGAAAGGAGTGCTTCCTCTTATAGCAGGGCTTCCCCCATCCCCACAGGTGACTGTCTGGATACAGCACTCATCCTGAACTGTTTCCTTCCCACAGAAGCCAGAAGAGCTAGATTCACAGACATGTCCGACCTTCCTGCAACATGACACCGTCATCTACAAATGTGCTGGGCCACATTCTTGGCTATCCTGGGATATATGTGGCAGTTGGGCATGCCCGAAGAGAATTGTAAAATTCCAGAACTTGGTATACTCAGGGATAGGGCAGAGCCAAGAACAAAAGGGAATCTATTTCAGCTCTGGAACCAGAACCCTCCATGGGTTGACACAGACCATTTAACTAGCTTATCAGAAAGCAAGCTGTGGATGGCGGCGCATGACTTTAATCCTTACGCTTAAAAGGCAGAGGCAGGCTGATCTCTGCGTTCGAGGCCAGCCTTATGTACAGAGCGAATTCTAGGACATTCAGGGCTACACGGAGAAACCCTGTCTTGTTTTAAAAACAAAACAAGAATCAGAAAGCAGGCTTCAACCTAGCTGAGCCCCAACTGACTCAGCTCCTTTAACACCAAGCCACTGGGTTTATTCAATTTGCGGCTTTGTAAAGGAGGCCATTTTTGTTATCTGTGGTTTCTTGTTTTATTTTTGAGGCAGGGTCTTACTATGTGATCCAGGCTGCCTATGCACTTGAATTCCTCCTGCCTCAGCCTTTCAGTGTTGGGTTTACAGGTGTATGCTGCCACACCTGGTTACTGTATATAGTGTCTTTTCTTGAGACAAGGTTTCATGTAGCCCAGGCTGGCCTTGGACTCCAGATCTTCCTGAACTACCTCTTATGTTCTATAATTTATTTCCCCACTGGATTTTAATACAGTGCTACTTTGTTTTAATAAAGTGCTGTTTTGTTGTATTTTTAGAAAGACCTTTCTGTCCAAACCATGAGAAAAAGGAGTTTGAGTCTTGATGGCTGGCATATTGGTAGCCTCAGGGGAAGAACTGTAGCTCCTTCTGTCTTCTCCCAATTCTGGAAGGCAGCCTCTTTTCCTAATATGGGAATCTTTTCTGGGAAGCCCAGTTGGCTTATGTCCCCAGTATTCCTGTGTCGGACTGTCTGGGAGCAGCAAAGCAGAGAGGAAGAGCCAGGACACGGAGGCTGGGTTTTACTAACCCTTCGCGGGTTGTTCCCACTTCCCTGCTGGGTCCTTTGTCACAGTCTTGTGCCATCTTCTCCTTAGCCCCTGCTCTGCCTCCCAGGAAGGAGCTAGGTTCCATGAATCTGGGCTCCACTCTATAGGCCCCTCCCAGGCCTGACTCTCTCCAGCAACTTGTCGGTCCTCTTTCCCCAAGTGCTCAGGAAAGGGCATGCCAGCCTCTGGGAGGGAAAGATCAGCTTGTTCCAGTTGCCCGGCCTCCGTCTCCCAGCCATCACCTCCTGGAGCGTGCACACCTGCATCAGGGTTGCGGTCTTGCAGGAGCTGGTGGACGGCCTTGAGCTTCATGTTGAGGAGTTCCCGCTGGGTTCCGACCAGAGTAGTCACCCTGCAGAAACACCCACTCAGGGGCTGCTCAATCTGCCTCTGTGGCTCCCCACTCACCCCACAAATTCTCACCGCTCAAAAAGGGGGTCCAGCTGGGTCATCAGATTGTTGAGATGCTGCTCTGTCTGGGCCAGCTGCTGTGTCAACTGTACCAGCTGTTGTTCTGGGAGAAGATAGATGGGATGGTTACTCCTGCAGCTCCCTGACCTACTCCCCAACCAAAACCACAACTACTGCCCAACCCACCTGACTGCAGGGATTTCTTCTTGTTTTTTTCCTCTTGGAGAATGGCAGCCTCATCCGGGCCCTGTTGTCGAAGCAGGAAAGGTAAAGCTGACGGAGTCAAGGCCCCGGCACCTCAGTCCTCAATGCCAGTGAAGACAGGAGCCAGAGAAAGCTCTGGGCATTCACCTCAGAATCCCAATAGCCTATATATAGTCCAGAACATGAAACAACGTGTCCACATATGGACAGACTGCTAAAGCCCTCTTGGGACCCTGAAACACTACGGGAGGGATCAGAAGACTGACCACACATCCCTGCTTTCTTGTTTAGCATCCCTGCCCTCCATCTTTGAGAGAGGGTCTTGCTAAACTGCCCAGACAGGCTTTGGACTTACAATCCTGCCTCAACTTCTGAGTGGCGCATGTCTGTGCCACCAGGTCCAGCTCCCTCAGTCTCTGTTGGTATAAAATCCCTATTCTGTCAAGTCAGTTTTCAATTCACATTACTCCCCTTCCACGCTGTTTTGCTGGTGATACAGTGCTCTTAAAGGCAGTGCCCTAAGGTTCATTTTTAGGGTACAATTCTCCCACCGTTATGATGGGCAGACCCTGTAACTGTAAAGCAGGTTACAACAATGCACCATAAAACTATCAGCTGCAATGCCTACCTCTCTTCCACAGGTCCTAAAGCTCCATTTATAAGACAGGAATAGAACTTATTTTGGTTTGGTTTTTCAAGACAGGGGTTCTTCGTGTAGCAGCCCTCACTGTCCTGGAGCTTACTTTGTAGACCAGGCTGGCCTCGAATTCACAGAAATCCTCCTGCCTCTGCCTCCCAAACGCTGGGATTAAAGGCGTGCACCACTACGCTCTGCTAGACCTTACTAATCAATTCCAATCCTCATTCTACCCTGTCAAGTCTGCCTGGACTCGTTACGAGTCATCTCATACAGTTTTATGTCACTGATTAGTTCAGTTTCCATTTCCTAATACAAGTAACTGGTCAGGGCTGACGATACAGCTCTGGGTGGTGGGTACCACTCTCTGGTTCAACAATTTCAAATCCATCAGAATTACTGTCTGTTCACATTTCAGGACTTCCTTGCCAGGGAGAACATGAAATGGCTTGGTGTCTGGCACCCTAACACTGTTGTTGCAGCGATTAACCCCTTGGGCCAAGGTTGTGCACTTTTTCGCATACAGACACTATAGTTGGGTTAAAATACCACTTCCATCAGACACTATGTGGATGATCTCGAGTAAGAAAACGACTCTTCACTGGGTTGTGGGAGGATTAAGCGTAACGGTCATTAGCTACAATTTCCCAGGCTCCTCTCTGGGAAGTCCATTACTTCTCTGGATCCTCGAACCCCCGTAATGTAGGGAGACAAAGGAACTAGTCTTCATTTTACAGGTAGCCGGGAAGCGGAGTCTTGTTTTTGGCCCCGTAGCGCCCCCAGGAGACTGAGGCCCAGGACTCCCCCAGGCCACGGCTATACCGCACCTGCAAGCACTTGTACAGCACAAAAGCCACGACGGCCGCAGTGTACAGCGCCCCCAAAGGCAGCGCTCCGGCCCGGGCTCGCTCGCGCTGGTCCTTGGGTGGCGGCCGCCGCCGGGGTTCGGTGGCTCCGGGACCGACCTGAGAGCGGCGTTCTGCGGATTAAAGACACCCGTCAGGGGAGAGGACGCTCCTCCCGGGCAGACCAAGCCTCCCTCCAGCAACCCTCGCTGGTACCTGGGTGTGCCCCTAGATCGGGGCTGGGGCGCTCACCAAGGACCCCAAACAGCGCAGACACAAGCAGCAGCCCCAGCACACTCGACACGGGGCCCGCGCCCGCCATGCCTGGCTCACTGGGAAGGTGCACCCGTAGCCCAGCGTTCCAGCGTCGGCGTCCCGCTGTAGTGCGCACGCGCACACGACCGCAGCCGCTCCCGCTCTGGGTCGCCGGAGTGGCCACGCCCAGCTCACGGGGCGGGGCACGTAATATTTGCATAATACCACCCCCACCTGGTTTTCCTACATTACTTAATTTCCTATCTATGTATATATATTCCTCAAGCAAGAATGGCTCCAGAATCTTTAACTCTAACGTATCATGCTTAAAACAGTGGCTCGTCATTTTGGAATTGGACGGACCAATTTCCTCACCATAACCAAAAAAACCCTGAGATTTTAGAGCTATAAAATAGCCGCCCTGCAAGTGAGAAGGCAGCTCGCTCTGAAGGCCTGTTTCCTAGGCTACATACGAGGGACGAGTTCCTTACTTCCGCCTAGGGGAAAGTCCCCGGACCTTGGGCAGAGAGTGCCGCGTGCATACGCGCGTAGACTTCCCCGCGAGTCACTGCTAGTCCGCCAAGAAGCGATCCCCCCGGGGCGAGCCGAGCGGCGTGCGGCGGGGCGTCATCCGTCAGCTCTCCTAGTAACGCAGGCAGTGCGCCTCACGCGCACCAACCGCACGGGGCTCATTCTCAGCGCGGCTGCTCTTTTACTCCCGCTGCACACGCAGACCCCTAAGTGGTATACCGAAGCAAGAGGAGCGGGAACTCAAGGTCACCCCCACTCTCGAGACGGGAGACACTAGCTAAAAGAAGAAAGAAAAAAAGATCTAAAACAAACAAACAAACCAAAAAAAACACCTTAATATCACTAGACTGCAAGTGCCGAAAGAGCACGGCCAAGTCTCTATTCCTATTTTACTAGCGAAGCACGTGGCACTAGCGGGAGCTTGAGGAATTGAATGAAATTAATGAATGAATGTTCACGACGAACCAAACGGTAAATACAATTAGATTCTTTGGGGTCTCGTGTCTCCTAGGGTGGCCTCAAACTTGCTACGTAGCTGGGGCTGACCTAAAACTCGGGATCCTCCCGCTTCCACTTCCCAAAGGCTGGATTTATAGCCACTCAGTACCACGCAGGTTTATAATAGAGCTGCCAGAGGTGGTGGCGCACGCCTTTAATCCCAGCACTGGGTGGCAAAGGCAGGAGGATCTCTATGAGTTCAACCCAGCCTCGTCTACATGGTGAGACTCTGTCTCTGTCTCAGTATGTACTGAGGTCCTCCTGTGGTAGTCTCTGGAGTGCTGGTATGCTGCCCAACTTTCCCTGTTACCTTTTAACTGAGCAACGCAGGACCATCTTCAATCAATAGCTCTCTAAGGGAAGAAACATGTTCCATTTGCAACTCTGTCTTCAGGACTTGGCAATCACCAGGCAAGTGGGACACGTGTGTTACGCAAATGACTATACTATGGGAGTCTATTTTTGTTTTTCCTGAAAGGGAGGCAGAAGGACAGGGCAGGGCAATGGGAGTTGACAAAGTCTGAGGGTTCCAAGATAGCTTGGAAAGCAGGGTAATACAGACCCGGAGTCGATGCCGGATGGCAGACTGCATGTGAGTGAGTTCAAACCCGTTCTAATGTGGCAAGTCACTCAATTGCAGGCTGCCTTTTTGTTTCGGACTTTTGAGTCAGGTAGTCCAGGCTAGCCTCAGAACTCACTATGTATACTGCCAATGGTGGACTTGAACTTCTGAACCTCCTGCTTTTCCCTCCTGTGCACTGGGACTATACGTGTATACCACCAAACCTGGTCTTAAGAATAAGGTTTCATTGTTTGATGGTGGGGGTAGTGAGGGTCTAGCCAATGTCCTCACACATGGTAGGCAGGGACTCATCACTTAGCTGTAGCCACAGCTACTGTCTTTGTTTAGGGTCTCGTTCTATAGCCCAGGCTAGATTCAAATTCATAATCCTTCTGCCCTAGCCTTCCGAACATGTGTTACAACGCCGGGCTCAGGTGGCTATCTTAAAGAACTCTTGCCCTCTGTTGCCAGATCTTCCAACTTTTTTTTTCTTCCAAAGAACCAGCCAATCAAGATTTTAAAACATTGGCTGACCATGGTGGCACATTTCTTTAATCTCGGCACTCAGGAGGCAGAGCCAGGAGGACCTCTGTAAATTCAAGACCAGGCTGGTCTACATAGTGAGTTTCAGGACAGCCAGAACCACACGGTGAGACCCTCAAGAAAAAAAAAAAAACATTTAAAAAATCCCATTTATTTCCAGGCAGTGGTGGTACATGCTTTAATCCCAGCACTAGGGAGACAGGAGGCAGAGGCAGGCGGATCTCTGTGAGTTCGAGACTGGGCTGGACCGATAGCCTCCAAAACAATACAGAGAAACCCTGTCACCACCACCCAGCCTGTATTGCAGGACCTTGACTCAAAAATGTAAATAATCTTTTAGGTGTCAAATACACTAAGTATAGCATTGATTTCTTTCAGCATTTATTTTTTAAAATTTACTTATTTTTATTTTATGTACATTGGTGTTTTGCCTTCATTTTTGTTTGTGTGAAGGCGTCAGATCCCCTGGAGCTGGGGTTACAGACAGTTGTAAGCTGCCATGTGGGTGCTGGGAATTGAACCTGGGTCTATCTTGAAGAGCAGTCAGTCCTCTTAAACACTGAGCCACCTCTCCAGCCCCTCTTATCAGCATTTAAAAGCAGAGATTTCTAGCATTTTGGTGGTGAGATGGGAGAAGCAATCTGGTGGTGAGTTGGAGGTCAATCTGGCCTATGAGTTCAAATTCAGCCTAGGCTACATAGCATGAGCTTGTCTGAAGAAACAAAAAAAGAATGCTGACTGCTTTTCTAGAGGAAGAGAGTTTGATTCCTAGCACCCACAGGGCAGTTCACAACCGTCTCTAAATGCAATTCTAGGGAATCTGACACTCCCTTCTGGCCACTCTGGGCACCAGGCATGCAAATGGTACACAGAAAGATTCGCACCCATACCATACATGAAATGAAACTTTGAAAATCTTAAAAACCAGAAACATTCTCACACATTCAATAAAATCAATAAGCAAAACTCCCAAAACAAACAAACAAAAAACAATTTAAGTCCAAAAACAACAGGAAAAAAATGCTGGTTACAGCATACAGAGCCAGCAAAGAAATAAAACTAAAGTTTATGGGATAGTGATCATAAAGAAAAATAAACCTGTTACTTTAATTCCCAGTTCCCTCATTCAAGGGGACCATTTGGAGTTTTAATTTATATTTAAGGTTTTTTGAAATTTGTTGTTGTGAATCTTTGCTAAATGGTTTCCTTATAACTAAGACATTTTCTAGTTATGTATTTGTTGCTTCGTATGAAAGAAACTTTTAAATAAATATGTGCATGGTGTGTGTGTACAGGTGCAGCTGCCTTTGGAGGCAGAGAGAGCATCAGATCCCCTGAAACTGTCATTACAAGTGAATTGTGAACCACTGGACCTGCATGATGTGATTCGAACTCAGGTCCTCTGGAAGAGCAACAAGTGCTCTTAACTACTGAGCCATCCCTCCAGCCCCTAAAAGAAACTCCTTGAAATGAAATTTAAGGGCTGCAGGGCGATGGCTCAGGAAGACTGTTTGCTATGGAGGCATGAGGACCTGGGTTTGAATCCCCAACTCCCACTCCCATTTGAGAGCAGATAGATTCTAGAGTTCTCTGGCCAGTTTGTCTAGACAAGACAAAATGGTGAGAAAGATGATGTCCTTCTCCACATGTGTGTGCATGGGTGCACAAACCCATGTACATTACACACAAAAAAGAAACTCTATGTATGTATGTATGTATGTATGTATGTATGTATGTATGTATGCAGGGTCTCATATTATAGCCCTGCCTGGCCTGGAACCCTCTAGTATAGACCATGCTGACCTTGAACTCACAGAGATCTGCCTGCCTCTGTCTTTTGAATGCTAGGTTTAAAGGCATGAGCCATCAGGCCAGTAGTCAAAAAGTGAAAATATTTAGTATCTGCGAAGTTGGAGACGCTATGCACCCCCCAAACCTGAACAATTTAGAAGTTGTAAGAACTAATTCTAGATATAGAGGGATCTCCTTGTGTCAAGGACCCTTGCATGACTAGATCCCTCTTGAATCATCTTCTGTGGCAAGTCAAGGTTTCTAGTTTATTTACTTGCTTATAGCTCCATATGCAGTCCAGCTGGCCTCTTACCAGTGTTCCAGGGTCATGGGCATGAGCCACCACACCTGTTTTATGATGTTTTTAAAAAGATAAGCAACAGCTGGGCTGGCTGAGTAAGGCAGTGATCCCAGCCGTCACAGGTGGAGCAGCAGCTGTTCAAGGCCAGTCTGCACTGTACAGTGGGGTTGGGCTACGTAAAGGCCTGCCCCCGCCCCAACGCTACATCGTTGTTAACAACAATTTAGAGCTAAGATCTATAAAACATTTTTTAAAAGTTGTGTGTGTGCATGTGTATGCATCCACACGTTCCCGTGGAGCCCGGAAATCAACTTCTTGTGTCCTCCAGTACTCTCCACCTTAGTCTATGAGACAGGGTCTCTCTCTGAACACCTGCTTCCCTGCCACCTGTAAAGCTGAGGTTGCACATGTGTACCACGAGCCTGGCTTTTACGTGGGCGTTAGAGATCCAAACTCAGGTCAAGTACTAGACAAGTACTTTACAGACTGAGTTGTCTCCCAGCCAGCCCTTGTGAAGGATTTTTCCTTCCCAAGGGTTTCACTATGTAGCTCTGGAACTCCCTACCACTCTCTCTAGCAAGTGACTAGCTGCAAAGACAGACCCAATTTGCCTGAATTAGCCTGAGACAGGGATTCCCTTAACGTAATTGATGGAGAGTCAGGTTCTTATGGACAGTTTGGACGAGTTAGGTTGTGAGGAAGGAATCTTGACTCCTCTATCTTCCTATCCCCAAGTATAATACAGTATCAACAACAACAACATACAGATATGTTTTCAGTTGGGCATAGTGGCACATGCCTGTAATTCCAGAACTAGCTAGATGGAGGAAGGAAGGGGCGGAGTTGAGTTCAAATCGAGCCAGGGCTTCTTCTGGGTTCCATAAATAGATATATCTATTTCCTGTAGTGGAACTGTGAATTCTAAAGCCATTCCACTTTAGAGCATGTTCACTGAAGCACACATCTCCTTCGTGGCAATGTGAGCCAGAGAGAAACGGTCCACATCCCATGACAAAGGACTCCTGTCCTCGTTAGTCCTGTCTCAGCCGACTCTGCTCTTCAGAGTCTCTGTGGTCTCACCTGCACGTGGCCGGGAACACCCAGGCCTGTGACTACTCTCTGGCGAAGGGGACTCAGGGCCGTGGGGGTTTCAGAGAGTTGAGAGCTCAGGGCATTGCAGGTGCAGGCACAGGGCGGGGTCTTTGTTCTTTTGCTCATCCCTCCTCTCTGCCTTCCTCTCCGGAAACCAGCAGCTTTGCCACCGTCAGTATTGGGTGATGCTGAGCTGTGGAGGTCAGGGTTAAGAAGACATTGGGATTGTGGGGGTTGTGACAGCTGTCAGGTCATGAGTAGGGCTGACCCTTGACTCAGGACAGTGTGATTATGGACCCGACTCTCACACCAGCCACAGTCATGAGCAGAGCTGTCAACTGCACAGACCATCTACTAGCGCCGGGTGAGCTGGGCGGGGCAGGGGCTCCTGGGGGAGGGGTTATGTGGTTCCATGTCTTATCTGATGCTGGTTGGGGAAGGGGTTTTTGTTCAGGGCAGTAACAGCCCCCTCCACTCACATCCGCAGGGATCCCCTCCATAACTTTTGCATGGGGACTGTGGGTCCTCTTAGGGCTTGTGACAGTGATGCTTCTCATTTTGCTGACTGCATTCTTGTCCCAGTGGACCTCTCGTAAGAGCAGGAGCCCGGAGGGTCAGGGACGGTGAGTATAGGATAACTGGGATGGGTTAACTGGGTACTTCCTCTTAACTCATCTCCCAAACTCTGTGCTGCAGCTCTGGAGGGTCCGTGGAAGAAATCCCCCTGTATGGGAACCTGCACTATTTACAGACCGGTAGGTCCTGCGTGTGGGAGGACAGGCCACAGGGGCCAGCTCTTAATAGGTGGGGTGGAGAGGAAGAGTTGCCAGGGGCAAGCAGGGCCTGACGGGATTCCTGGTCCTTTATCCCAGGACGGCTGTCCCAAGAGCCAAGGCCAGAACAGCAGGACCCATCTCCTGGAGGCCCTGCCAGGGTGAGTCAGCTGGCCGAAGAAAAGGGGAGGGAAGGAAGTGGGGACCGCTCCCGAGGTTCCAGAGAACGTCCAACAGCCTCGCATCTCCAGGCTACGGAGGAGGGGATGTGCTACACGAGCCTGCAGCTGCGACCTGCTCAAGGCCGAATCCCCAGCTCTGGGACCCCCATCAAGTATTGTGAGGTGGTGCTGGACTCTGAGCCAAAGCCCCAGACCCCAGACCCTGAGCCGGAACTCTATGCCTCGGTGTGTGCCCAGACACGCAGAGCCCGGGCTTCCTTCCCAGATGAGGCCTATGCCAACAGCCAGCCAGCATCCAGCTGAGGAGGACCTGGAACTGCGGGCAACCGTAGCTCAGCTACTGGGTCAGGGACTCCTGCTGCCCTGGCTAGTGTATGCCTCGTTCCCGACTGCCCCCAGGACACTGAGCCACTGCTTAGTGACAGGTGATAACCTACCCTGAACTTCCTACATTATAAGGCATCCATCTCAGAGTATGAAGGTTCCTGGCTTCCTGACGATGGAGTTGCGGAGGCAGACCCCACACACACCTTTTCTATGTGTTCATGCAAGCCCCCAAACTCCCTGCTTCACACTTTTTCCTCCTTCCGGAGTTTAACGGGGTTCTCCATCTCCCCTTCTCAGCTCGTCAGATACCCCGTAGTCTCCTCAGACACAGGAAGTGGGCAGGGAGGAGGAGGTAAGAGCCAGAGAGGATGTGGGTGGGTATCATGCATGGGAGCCCACAGCTGAAAGACTCCTGGGGTCTCAAGCTTGGTGTTTGGCCTGAAAACCCTGGACAGAGAATGGGCTCCATGTTGCTGTCTCTGGCGTCCCCTGGTTTTCAAATAAAACGTCTCAAAAACGTTCGTATTTTCACCAGAGGTTGCAGGTCTGCAGCAGACTCCCAATGGGTGGGGGTGTGAGCTCTGACACTGCATAGAGCATTTCTGTAGTTACCTAGCTGGGGAAGGATTGGAGAGGTAGATGTTGAGGGTGAAGGGCTGGGGCCCAGCTACTCAGCTGCTAGTCCTGATTCTAGAACATTCGCAAGACTTATATTCAAGGCCACCCCATTGCCACTGGGGTCTGAAACCAGTCCTGAGCTACTCTCTCCATTGCTTCTGTAACTGTGTCCTCCTGCTGTCTGGCCTGTCTCCTTCACCAGTGGCCACGGCCATTCTCCCACATAGGGTGCTACCTAGACCCTTTCTATGGCGTCAGTTGCCCTGTCTTTATTCTGTCTGCCAGATACCTCTGTTGACCTCCTCATCACCCTATATCACTATGGTAACGGTCTACTCCACCTTCTTAGTCGTCACCTAAGTATCGGCAACAGCCTTGCTTGTCACAGCTCGGATTTAAAACCCTTGTCCAATATGCCTGCCTGCCCGTTCATCACCTGCCTATTTTTTCTTCACAGTTCTTGTTATTAATTTAGTTTTTACATTCCAATCCCAGTGCCCCCTCCCTCCTTCCCTCCCACTCCCTCTAACCCCCCCTCCTCCCATCTGCTCCACGGAGAGGGTAAGGCCTCCCCTAGGAAGTCTGCTAAGTCTGTTCCATCATCTAGTTGAGGCAGGACCAAGGCACCTCTCCACCCCTACACCCCTGTGTCTAGGCTGAGCAAGGGATCTCTCCATATAGAATAAGTCAGTTTGTGCATTGGTGTTAGGTCTTGGGCCCACTGCCAGTGGCCTCATATATTGTCCCAGCCACACCATTGTCACCTATATTAAGGGAGTCTAGCTCGGTCTTATGCAGGTTCCCCATTTGTCAGACCAGAGTCACTGATCTCTCACTAGCTCGGGTCAGCTGATCCTGTGGGTTTCCCCATCATGGTCTTGACTCCTTTGTTCATATTATTGCTCCTCCCTCACTTCGATTGTACTCCAGGAGCCTGGCCCATTGGTTAGTTGTGCATTTCTGCATCTGCTTTCATCTGTTTCTGGAAGAGGGTTCAAGCTTCTCTGGGGTTATGGTTCGTAGGCTGGGTATCTTTTGTTTATTTCTGGTATCCACTTATGAGTGAGTACGTACTATATTTGTCTTTCTGGTTTTGGGTTCCCTCACTTAGGATGTTTTTTTTCTAGGTCTGCCCATTTGTCTACCAATTTTAGGATGTCATTGTTTCTTACTGCTGAGTAGTACTCCATTGTGTAAATATATCATATTTTCTTTATCCGGTCTTCAATTGAGAGGCATCTAGATTGTTTCTAAGATCTGGTCATTACAAATAATGTTGCTGCCGGGCGGTGGTGGCGCACACCTTTAATCCCAGCACTCGGGAGGCAGAGGCAGGCGGATCTGTGTGAGTTCGAGGCCGGGCTGGACCGATAGCCTCCGAAACAATACATAGAAACCCTGTCTCGTAAAAACCAAAAAAACAAAAACAAAAACAAATAATGTTGCTATGAGCTAGTTGAGCAAATGTACATGTGGTATGTGCCGAACAGTGGTGTTGCAGGGTCTTGAGGTAGGTTGATCCCTAATTTTCTGATAAATTGCCATAGTGATTTCCACAACAGCTGTACAAGTTTGCACTCCCACCAGTGGAGGAGTGATCCCCTTTCTCCAATCCTCTCCAGCATAAGCTGTCATTGGTGTTTTTGATTTTAGCCATTTTGATCGGTGTAAGATGGAATCTCAGAATGGTTTTGATTTGCCTTTCCCTGATGGCTAAGGATGTTGAGCATTTCCTTAAGTGTCTTTCTGCCTTTTGAGATTGTTCTGTTGAGAATTCTCTATTTAGATCTGTACCCCATTTTTTATCGGATTATTTGGTAGTTTGATTTCTAGTTTCTTGAGTTCTTTGTATATTTTGGAGATCAGCCCTCTGTCAAATGTGGGATTGGTGAAGAAGTCCCCATTCTGTAGGGAGTCGTTTTGTCTTGTTGACTGTGTCTTTTGCTTTACAGAAGCTTCTCAGCTTCAGGAGGTCCCATTTATTCATTGTTGCTCTCAGAATTGTGCTACTGGTGTTCTCTTTAGGAAGTGATCTCCTGTGTCTGTGTGTTCAGATGTATTTCACACTTTCTCTTCTATGACGTTCAGTGTGGATGGATTTATATTGTGGTCTTTGATCCATTTGAACTTGAGTTTTGGCATGGCAGGAAATATGGATCTGTCTGCAATCTTCTACATGTTGACAGACAGTTATACCAGCACCATTTGTTGAATATATTTTCTTTTTTTCATTTTATATTTTTACCTGCCTTATTCTTAACCTGCACCTCCTGAACTATACAGCATTCGGTGGTAATAGGCAGGTTGGCAACAAGGTTAGCTGTGGACTTGGGAGTCAGACTGCCTGAGTTCAAACTCTACACCTTCCATTTGTCACCATTTGTTCCTAAGCAACTGAGCCTCCGTGTCTAAACCTGTATGATGCAGATGATACTCTCGTCATTTATTATTACTTTTGTGGGTATACATGTGCATGTATTCACAAGGGAGAGTGCATATGTGATGTGGTGCGTGTGTGTGTGTGTTCATACATGTGGAGTCCAGAGGCTAACCCTGGACGTTCCTAGTGGTGGTAGTGTTTGTGGGAGAGGATTGAACTCAGATTCTCAGACCTGTCAGTGAATGCCTTTACTCATCTTCCCCCAAGCCTTGCTTCCTCAGCCATTTTGTCAGCTCCTTGCTGTGGAACAGTCTTTGTACACTGTAAACACGTGCTGCTCTCATTGTTAATAAAAAGCTGACTGGTGGATAGCTAGGTAGAATTTCTGGGGCAGAGAGAATGCTGGGAAGAAGGGCAGAATCTCGGGATTCTCGAGAGACTCAGAGAGAAGCAAGATGAATATGTCATGTAAGAAGGTACAGCCACGTGGCAGAGAGTAGACAAGAAATATAGGCTCATTTAAAATGTAAGAGTTGAGGCAGGCAGATCTCTGTGAGTTCGAGGCCAGCCTGGTCTACTGAGTGAGTTCCAGGACAGCCTCCAAAGCCACAGAGAAACCCTGTCTCGAAAAACCAAAAATTAAAAAATAAAAAAAAATAAAATGTAAGAGTTAGCTAGTAACAAGCCTGAGCTATCAGCTGAGCATTATAATTAATAACAAGTCTCTAAATGGTTATTTGGGAGTTGCTGCTGGGACATGGAGAAACTCAGCCTACAGCTCCTCTCTGTGTTTTTGAGGCAGGGTCTCTTACTGGGCCCTGGGACTGTGGAATAGGCCAGCTGACTGGATTTCGAGCTCCAGGGATCCACCTGTGCCCAGTTCATTCTGGAACTACAAACATTGTGCCCTGCTCTTTTATATGGGTGCTGGGATCCCACTCAGATCCTCATGTGTGCCGAGCATGCCCTTTACCCTCTGAGCTATCTTCCCGGCCCCTTGAAGTTGCCGACTGTTTCTATTAATAGTGATATGTATGGGCATCTTGCTTGCATGTATGTCTGTGCACCGCTTATGTGCCTGAAGTTACAGCCACCATGTGGGTGCTGGGAACCAGAGCAGGATCCTCAGCAAGAGTAACAAGCGCTCTTAGCTGCTGAGCCAGCTCTACAACCCCATGAAATTATTTAAAAATTTTAACCTTTATTTTTATTTTTTTGGATGTTCTGCCTCCATGTATGTATGTGCAGTGCCCATGGAGGCCAGGAGAGGGCGTTAGGTCTCCTGGAACAGGAGTTACATTCGATTGCGAGCCACCATGTGGGTGCTGGGAACCAGAGCAGGGTCCTCTGCAAGAGTAACAAGCGCGCCGGGTGGTGCACGCCTTTAATCCCAGCACTCGGGAGGCAGAGGCAGGCGGATCTCTGTGAGTTCGAGGCCAGGCTGGACCGACAGCCTCCAAAACAGAGAAACCTGTCTCGTAAAACCAAAAAAAAAAAAAAAAAAGTAACAAGCGCTCTCAATGGTTGAGCCATCTCTCCAGACCCCTTGTTCATAAAAAAAAAAGAAAGGTTGTTGTGCGGTTTAAATGAATTGTCATATGGTAAGCACTAAGAGTGTGAGTAATCAGTAACTAGAATTATTAAAATCAGGGAAACACGGGGTCCTGTGGAGGAACTCATAGGTGAAGTGACTAAGCAGCGAAACATTACAGGTAACACGGAAAATGGAAGATCACAAAACAGTCCAGCAGGGGGCACAACAAGGCAAAGGAGAAGGGCTTCTCTATACAGAGACACCGGCGGGCCCGGTGAAGGAGCAATGAAAAGGAAAGGGCAAGGTGAGTCTGGTGGACCGAAGGAAGCCAGTCATGCCAAGAGCTTGGATTTTCTGCTTCTGGTGAGGTGGAAAGGAGTCGCTGCGTGAAGCTCCAGTGGCCGCCACGGGGACTGTAGGATGGAGCTAGGCAGGCTCTTACAAAATGAAAAAAATGAAAATGAAAAAAGATAAAGTCTCAGTAGGGATGGAGAGGAGATAATGGGTTAGAAATGTTTAGGTTTTAACAAGTGCCATCCATCTTATCATCCATCTTTGTGGTCTGAGCCCCATCACGGAGTATAGCCCGGTTCCAAACTGCTTAAGCTCTCCCGCTGCCCCACCCCCGCCACTCTCCCGGCAGCAACACTGCTCTGTATAACCCTCGCACGCACGGCACGCCCGTTGGCTGCTCTCCTCCAACTTTTTTGTAGCCCATCTATGATCCACCCAGCTCTGGCAAAAAGCCGAACCTGGTGAGCCTGAAATTGCCTTCAGCCGGAGCTCCAGACCTCTCTGCCTGGGGCCTCTGTCCAGCTCCGCCGACCTTTTTGAGGTTGCAAGGACAGAAGAGGAAGAGGTTTCATTCCCACGCGTTTCTCCTTTGCATTTACAAAGTTCTAAAGACAACCAGAGAGCAGGGAGCCCTGAGCCTGGTAGACACGGGGTGTCCGTGAAAAGGGTGGTAGCGGGGGCTCTCTGGTCTCTGCATTTCTGAGGAAGCCAACTTAGGTCTCCCTAGGAGACACCTAGATCGCAATAGGTGTTGTGTGGGAGGAAGGGTGGTTTGGGGGCGGACACCGGATGAGGGGAACCACTGCATCGGGAAGTGGGCTCCTGAGGGCTGCTGTGCTTCTGAAGCTGGTTCAGAGTCTGCACCAGAAGGACTTGAGAGCTTAGGCTTGGGGAAGCTGATGATCGGTATAGCTCACACGCATAAGCGGATCCCAGGGCTGAGGGCTCCGAGGCTCCACTACAGAAAGCTGATTTAGGTCCCCAGACTGGGTTTAGCTTGTACGCAAAGCACTTAGAACCAACCAAACTCCAGTGCCCTTGCTAGGCGTGCGGCGGTATCGCACCACTTCTGCGCATGCGTAATAAGATCTGGCCATAGCATCCTGGGAATTGCAGTCCTCTGAATCCAACCCCAGACTCCAACCCAGGACATTAAGTCTGGCTCAATGGGTTTGAAGCTGGGCAAACAACGCTCTTAAACTGAGTTTCTGTAAAGCGACAGTTTTGTAGTTTTATTTTATGTGTAGCTGCAATGAAGTATGACTTGAAATTTGGTTTTCTTACAGTCCCTGAAACCTGTGTTCTACGCATTCTCTTCCGATCTTTCCCTAGCCTCTCAGTGTTAGGAATCAAACCCAGGGGCCTCATTCATGCTAGGCAAGTGATCTACCACAGAACCATGCTCCTAACCTTCTCTCTCTCCTCTCTCTCTCTCTCTCTCTCTCTCTCTCTCTCTCTCTCTCTCTCTCTCTCTCTCTCTCTCTCTCTCTCTCTCTCTCTCTCTCTCTCTCTCTGCCTCCCTCCCCCTCTCTCTCTGTCCCCCTTCCTTTCCTTCTTTTCTTTTCTTGACCGGGTTTCTCTGTGTAGCTCTGGCTGTCCTGGAACTCTGTGAATCAGGCTGGCCTGAAACTCAAAGATCCACCTGCCTCTGCCTCCCCAGTGCTAGAATGAAAGGTGTGCACCACTATGTCTGGCTTCTTCGCTTTTTCTTGTGTTCTCTTGTCTATAGGAGACTATTTATTTATTTATTTACTCATTTGTTTATTTTGGTTTTTTGAGGCAGGATTTTTCTGTGTAACATCCCTGGCTGTCCTGGAACTTGTCCTGTAGACCCTGTAAACCAGGTTGGCCTCGAACTCACAGAGATCCACGTGCCTCTGCCTCCGAGTGCTGGGACTAAAGTCGCGTGCCACCATGCCTTTAATTAAAGGCCATCATGAAGGTTTGTGCTTTGGCCCACATCCTGAGTACCTGACAGGCCAACTGAGGCAACTGCCTAACTGGTTCCTAAACCAAGGAGCACAGCCTTGGTTGGTCACCTCACAATGCGCTCCCCAGCTCCAAGTTCCTTAGCCTCTTTGATGTTTCTTTCAGCCAGGTAAATCCCGGGGGTCAGATTTGTAAGGGAAGTCCCTGGGGCCCAGCTTAAGCTCTTTGTGAGATCTGGTCTTTGATAACAGTTGTAACTTAGGACCAAGGGTCACAACAGGAAGTTCCGAAGTGTCTTCTGTTACAGGTGGCGAGGACACGGCCGGACACGGCCATCTCCACAGGCCTCCATCTTCAGCCTCGCCTTTTCAGTCCTTTAAGATGGGTTTCAATTCCAGGATGACTTTTCCTACCAGGAGGGAAGCAGAACTGGGTGGCCCCGTGAGACCAGGTCTTGGTGACTTCACTTAAAATCTTGTAGCCAACCACAGGCACAACTAGATCTGCCTTCTGGGATTTTTGGCCATGTAAATAATAAATTCCCCACTCTCTTTCAGTCAAGGTTGGGTTTTTCATCCTTCAGTCACATGAGTTCTGAATAATTCTCTCCAAAAAGACCAGCAGATAAAAGCTAAAGTTGTGGAACCACTGATATCTTCCCTCATTGCTCATTTCCTCCGTGAGCCTCTTGCTTGCACTATGTGCCGTGGCATTTGGCCCTAAGGTATTTAAAACAAAATAAAAGCACAACTACGCAGGGCGGTGGCGGCGCACACCTCTAATCCCAGCACGAGGGAGGCAGAGGCAGGCGGGTCTCTGTGAGTTCAGCTGCAGCCTGGTCTTTAGTTGTGTGTGGGGGAGGAGGGATGTGCAAGCCGTGGTGAACTCTGTGGAGCCTGGAGGACAGCTTCTGTGACTTGGTTATCTCTTCCAGCATGTGTGTGCTGGGGGGTGAATTTAGGTCGCCAGGCTTGGTAGCACGTGCCTCCACTAGCTGATAAACCTTTGCTGGATGTAAGATATTGAAGGAGGCACCAGATAGACTCACTTTGTTCCATTCTGACTCTACTTTTGCCCTCCAGCAGTTTTCCTCCATCTGAGTTTGTCGTTTTTCTCTTTGTGAGTCTCACAGCCAGCCTTACACTTGGGTTGTTCTTGCCTCTGCCTCCAAAATTTCTGGGTTTATAGGCCTGGAGCATTAGGCATGGTATCCTGGGTCACTCTCTCTCCTGCAGACACCAGGAAAAAAGAGGACTTAATTGGTGAACATCTTTATTACAAGGGGCTGACCTCCCCCCCTATCAGGTAATAGCAAACCTATCAGGACAGATCACCCCCTCCCTGAATAAAGGCAGGCTCCCTCACATGAGGCTGCATCCTGGAGACAGACTGTGACCCTCAAGTGAAGACATTAGCCGCTCCTTCAGAACCCGTTGGAGAACCGTAACTGAGACAGTGATCAGTCAGACCACCCCTACCCCAGTTGGAGGTGCAAACCCTGGGTACTTCCCTTCCTCTAAAACCTCCAAGTTCCCATTAGTCCCTGAAAATGAGCCTGGGGATCCCTGGCCTCATCGTCCATTCTCAGTACAATTACTTCTCTACCCTTCTCTGTTTCTCAGCCTTAGACTCCGGCAGCATCGCTTTTGAAGTTCTTATTTGATTTTTTTGTGCATGAGTGTTTCACCGGCAGGTATGTAAGTGCGCCACTTGTACTGGAGGAGGTCATATGAGGAAGATGTCGGATGCCCTGACACTGGAGTTACAGATGATTGTGAGCTGCCATGTGGGTGCTGAGGACTGAACCTGTGTCCTCTGGAAGAGCAGTCAGTGAACCCAATCTCTAAGCCATCTCTCCAGCCCCTGTAATAATATTTTTTATTTAGTGTGTTGGTTAACTTGTTTTCTAGCCTACTTTATCAATTTCTAGAACTACCTAGTTAGAAAGGGGTTGGAAGATCTGGTCTGAACTTACAGTGCTTTTATGAGTTACCCTCCAGGCCTCTCCGTGAGCACTTCCAGGGTCGGGGGACTTTATTGCTTGACCAAGCACTCATTTCCAATCTTTGAATCACAGAACTTTTAAGATTTTGAGCCAAATCTGCCTCCCTGTTATTTTCCTTCTGCTCCTTCTGGCAGAGTTACAACTACGCAGCCTTCTCCCCTTCTCCTGTCCGCAGCAACCCGGAGGAACCCAGGCGCCACTCCTAGGAAGAGAACGCCTAAGTGGTTTTCTGTTTTGTTTTTAAATTTTTAAAAACTACATTCTAAGCCAGGCAGTGGTGGCTCACGCCTTTAATCCCAGCACTTGGGAGGCAGAGGCAGGTGAATCTCTGAGTTCGAGGCCAGCCTGGTCTATAGAGCGAGTTCCAGGGCAGCCAGGGCTACACAGAGAAACCCTGTCTCAAAAAGCAAACAAAAAAAGAGTGCTTCTCAGAAGTGAATGGGTTCCTACCCCACACTACATGGAAGGGTTTCTATAGAAAGAATGACCTCGACAAGTTGCAGGCCTGGTGGAATGGGAATGTCAGACTGTAACTGAGGTACAGGGACCTCAGTGCAGCCTCAGGGACCGGATAATGCAGGCCTTCACCCTCCGGCTCCTCCTGATCTGTTGTCTCCACCTCTGATTCCGGTGTTTACCTACGTCTTCTTCCCAGGTTACAAACACAACAGCTTCATCTTTCTTCCTTTGCCTATGGCCTCAGTTGAACATTTATTGATGGCAATACAGTGTACACATGGTTTTTCTAAAGTTAGGATGGAGCCTCGCACAGTGTAGCACACGCCTTTAGTCCCAGCATTGGAGGCAGAACGGGTCATCTCTGTGACGATGTTGTCTCTTGCACATCCCCTTTAACAGCTCCCAACTATAGGCCAGGAGTTAGCTCAGCTCAGCTGGTCTCGGCAGAGACAATTTCCTGCAGACAATTCTGGAGGACAGCCTCAGAGCCAAGGCCAAGGACTGGCTGGAAGAAAGCAGGTCCTAGAAGCAGCCTGCTTCCAGTAAGAACTGGTACCTCTGCTGGATCTCCATGACTTCCCCCAAAACTAATAATAGGTTGAACTGCTCAGATTTTGTAATGAGGAAAATGCAAACAAACCAAAGGACAGAGGAACCTGCTGGCAGAAATGGGGAAATCCCTTCCCAAAATTTGTGAATTTGGAAGCTTACGCACAAAATATTTCCTTGAAATACGGAACATGATTTCAAAGCTTACAGTTCCTATAGATAAAGCAAGGGGAGTCTTTGCTGAAATCCCTAAACAAGCCTAGGAAATTAAAAAAAAAAAAGAAATATCTCAAAGCACTTGACAAAAATATAGACATGCAAATTCTGTGGTGAATGATGGGATCAGAGCAGAACCGGGAAAGTCGCCATGCAAAGGCTGTGGCTTCCCAAAAAAAAAGGTCATCGCCAAATGAAAGGCTGTGGCTCCCAGAGAAAAAGGCTACCACCAAATCAAAGGTGACATTTCCCTGGACTGAGGGAAGACTTGCCTTACCTTCCAGACCAGCTCGACAGAAAAAGAAGCACACTTCAGCCATGCACAAGTAAAAGGAGAGTCTCAAAACTCAAAGTGGTGTAGAAAATCTTACCCCCTTGCAGTCAGCAAGTAGGTTCCTTTATCTGCAGTTCTGCTTCAACAAAATTGAATGTGGGCCAATGAGAGAGACGGCCTGCAGCATGGACCCAGGCAAGGAGGGACGGTAGGTTTGTAAAGGCTTTGCAAAGTATCCCACCTGAGAAGTGGTTTTGAGAAAACAACCCAAGCAGTCAGCAGAGGAAACAGCAGAGATGTCAAGACAGGAGAAAAGGCAGAGGAAAGAGAGCAGTGGGGGGCAACGAAACGTGACCTATATATTTATATCTAAATCTATTTATAACGCGCAATGTACATACTAAATAGGAACTCAAGACAGATGGAACACACTGTAAGGGAAATTTTAACAAGGACTAAATGATCTCAATTAAATTCTGGAATCAAGATTACGGGAAGGTAAACACACTCCAGATGTGAGAGAGGAGAGGGTGAAAATTCAGGGAAGGATGGTAAATGAACATGATCTATAGACCACGTTATACTGGGGCGGGAGGATGATCATAACATTCTGGGAATAATTGGTGCTGTGTTTTTATATGCTGAGAAGACTGTGCCTGAGAGTGCTGACTGGGATTGTAATTCTCTGAATGTTTTTTGTTGCTGCTGTGTTTTTAGATAGAATCTTGGTATATAGCCCACGATGGCCTTGGATTCCTACACTTTATTCTTCAGCCTTGTTAGTGCTGGAAATAGAATAAAACAAATGATATGGAGAACCAAATACATCATACTTGAGAGTAAAGGCAAGTAAGCTGAATTCTGCTGTTAAAAGACTAGCTGTTTCCTAAAATTCAGGTGAATATTTACCTAAGAGAAGCACACTTATAGCAAAGTGATAAAGTTGTAAAATAATACATGGAAGAAAGATGGCAGAAGAAAAACAAATAAAAGTAGATGTATGCTGATTTCAAAGCAGTAGAATTCAGTCTACAGACAGGCTTAGGGGGCCAGGGGACTATTGCCTTCAAAGGAATTGGATGGAATCAGGAGGCAATAAGAATTCTTTTCCTTATTTTTTTCATTTCTTTTTTTTTTTAGATTTACTTTATTTTGTGTTGAGTGTTTTGCCTGCGTGTACCTATGTGCATTCATGCGTGCCTGATGCGGGCAGAGGTCAGAAGAGGGTGTTAGATTTCCTGGAACTGGAGTTAGGAATGGTTGTGAGCCACCGTGTGGCTGCTGGGAACTGAACCCAGGTCCTCAGCAAGAGCACTGAACCACTGAGCCGACTCTCCAGCCCCCTTTTCTTTTAAACAATTTATTACATTATTTATTATTTTTGGAGGGAGGGAGTGTGCGTGTGGAACTCAGAAGATAGCTTTGGGGGATTGGTTCTCTCCTTCTCCTATGTGGGTACTGGGGGATTGAACCCAGGTCCTCCGGCTTTGCCTGCTGAGTCATCTCATCAGTTAGGAAAATAAAAAATTTTTAAAAGCCAGTTTTCCAAAATTGAAGGGTATAGTTACTATAATTCCAATCAGTATCTTAAAGAGTGGACAAGGAAAGCTTTGAAAAATTGACAGAGAGAGCGCTGGGGAGATGGCGTGGTGGGCAGGGCACTTGTGTGCAAGCATGAGGCCCAGGGTTCGACTCCTCAGACTTCCTGTAAAGTGGCAGCAGGAGTCTACAGTCTCAGTGCTCCTATACACAGATGGGAGGTAGCGGCCTGTGCAGACCCACACCCGCACACACGAACGTGCACGCACACACAAGGTTATTATTTTAAATTACCGAGGGAGAGCTAAGGGTGTATTTCAGCGGTACTGTGCTTGCTTAGCATGTGGGAGAACCTGGGTTCAATACCCAACACCATAAAAAATTAGCGAGAAAGTTTTATCAAATATCAGTTGCTGTGTGGACTTTTCTGGGAAAACATAAACAAATTTCTACTCTGTCCAGATAGGGCACCAATGACAAACCAAAGAGCGACTCTACTGATGATAATCCAAGTTGGGGAACAAATGAGTTTATAGGGCTCACTTATAGAGGGGGGGCTACTTACAGGAGAATGAGTGACCCCAAAGCAGCCACACCACTGAAAGGCTCAACCCCATAGCCAACATAGACGAAGCTCCCACTTCAGTTAACCTGTCCATCACTTCCAGAGAGCGGCCTGTACAGAATCACACACAGCCGGCATGCTTGCATAGGGCATGGCTGGAATCTTAGACCCCAATGCCTAGTCCAGTGACCTGCTTGATTTGAGGATCTCTGCAAGTAGTCACAGCTGTTCTGAAGATGGTGATGGCTGTCCTGGGAAGACAGCATTCTACAACATTCTACCCCTCCTGGCATCTCTAAGGTTCCTTCTGTCTCCCTGTTTGTAATGATCCCTGAGCCTTAGAAGGGGGACAGATAGATATCTGGTTACTTTCTTCCATTTGTCACTGAATGATGGGCCACCATTTTACAGAAACTGTCACTCCTCCGAAGTTTTATTGAAACCGAGCAGTGGTGGTGTATACCTCTAATCCCCGCACCCAGGAAGGTCTGAATCTGTGAGTCTGAGGCCAGCCTGGTCTACAGAGCTAGCTCCAGGACAGCCAGGGCCACACAGTGAAACCCTGTCTCAAAACAAACAAACAAACAAACACAGAAGTTTTTTTTTTTGTTTTTTTTTTGGTTTTTCGAGACAGGGTTTCTCTGTATTATCTTGGAAGCTGTCCTGGAACTCGCTTTGTAGACCAGGCTGGCCTCGAACTCACAGAGATCCACCTGCCTCTGCCTCCCGAGTGCTGGGATTAAAGGCATGCGCCACCAACGCCCGGCAAACACAGAAGTTTAATTGAATATAAGTCTTTAAATTAAATTTGTGGGGGGGGTCACAGGACAATGTGTGTGAGAGAGTTGATTCTCTCCTTCCCCTATGTGAACTACTCAGGTGTGAGGCTCAGAGATAAGGGCCTTTACTGCTGGTCTGAAAGCCATCTTGCCAGCCCAAGAACTTAAATTGTTAAAATAAACACTACTCACTTAAAAAACAAGCTTCCAAGATCCCACCAAGGAGGGCCTCACCCTCCCTGGGGAATGATGTAGGGATTGGGTGGGGGGCTGGGGGGCCTGGTGGAGGGACAAGGGAGGAGGGGTGGGAGAGGGAGCTGGGATTGACATGTGAAGCATTCATGTTTCTAATTTAAATAAAAACATATATCGAGGGAAAAAGAACAAGCTTCCTTGGCCAATGCTGATAGCTGCAATAAACTATGGACCTAAAATAAATATTTAGGAGAAAATCTGACAGATTTATCATATCCAGTTAACAAAGCAGGGCCTGTGACGTCCTCAGCCACAGGTTTTTGTCCTGGCTTACAGTACCAGATGTAAATTCTGCCCTCTGGAATAAACCTTAAATCCAATCAGAGAGTTGGTGGTTGTTTCCATTGACTGTTAGTGCTGCTATTGAACTAGCTGGCACAAGTCAAGTAGCATTTCTACAGTGTAGCTCCAGGGTCCAAGCCTCAGACCGTGGGAACAATTATCCCCGAGCAATTTGCACAACACCTTACAACACTGTGAACTAAGCAGCAGGAAGGGAACCTCCAGCCACATTCCATCTTGATTTCTTTAGATTCTGCAACCAAAGCATCATACATTGTCTCCAGCAATAGGGTCACAACATCTACTTCTGGTTGGTGGCTGCCCTAGTTAGTTTTGCTGTCAACCTGACACAGCCTATATTCATCTGAAGGAGTCTCAAGTGAGAAACGTCCCAGATCAGATTGGTCTATAGCCATGTCTGTGAGAGATTATCTTGACTGATGATTGCTGTGAGTGGGGCCAGCCCGCTGTGGGCAGCCCCACGCCTAGGCAGGTGGGCTTGGACTGCATAGGAAATCCAGCAGAGCATGAGGAATGAGGGAGCTGGTAAGCAGAATCCTCCATGGGTTCTGCTTCAGTTCCTCCTTGACTGAGCTCCTGCCCTCACTTCGGCCACAGCTTCCTCATAACCCTCTTTTGCGCACTCTACTATCAGAGGCTTGAGGATCCTCTCTGGTCCATCAGGCATTATCAGGATGTCACTACTCCTTTGGCAGACAAAATTCATCAAGGATGCATGCCACTCCATAACACACAGAGGAAGATAGTCCCACTGGGACAGCCCTCACAGACTTTCACTAAGACTCCCCTTCTGGGGAGAAAATCCAGCCTCAATTGCAGTTCTTTTTTTTTGGTTTTACGAGACAGGGTTTCTCTGTATTGTTTTGGAGGCTGTCGGTCCAGCCGGGCCTCGAACTCACAGAGATCTGCCTGCCTCTGCCTCCCGAGTGCTGGGATTAAAGGCGTGCGCCACCACCGCCCAGCTCAATTGCAGTTCTTAAAGGGGTCAATGCATATGCTGCTACAGCAACGAGACATGCCATTCCATAGCACATGAAGATGCTACAGCAACGAGACATGCCATTCCATAACCCATGAAGATGCTACAGCAACGAGACATGCCATTCCATAGCCCATGAAGATGCTCACCTCAGGGTTCCCCTGAAGCCATCCCACCCTCAGATGGTTGAGCTTCAGTTGCACATCTCATCACCTATGGCAGAGACAAAGCCGCTGGTTCCCCCAAACTCATCCTAGGTTCTGCACCAAGGGCTTCTTGGACATTTCCTGGGTAAATATAAATAAACACGTACTGTCCCCACATAGAGTACCAACAACAGATCCAAGTACGATTCTACTGATATCCAACTCAGTGAAGCAATGAGTTTATTTGCTCCACTTACAGAACTTGGGTGAGGGGTTACTTACAAAAGAGTGGGTGACTTCAAAGCAGTCATGCCAGTGAAGAGTCTCAAGTCAGCCTGGAAGACAGCTTCCCCACAGCAGTGTGGGTGGAGTCCCTCTTCAGTTAGCCGTCTGACTGTCCACCCTCTGGTTCCTCCTGGAGTTGCTGCAGCAGGTGCAGGATCACACACATCTGGGATGAAAAGTGTAGGAAGAGTGGCTGGAATCTCAGCTGAGGGTCTCATGGCCCCCTCCACCCTCTTCTACGCGGGAAAGTCAACAAGCCTGACCCTGAGAATTTCTTGTAAGCAGTCACAGCTGCCCTGGGAAGATGCTGGTGGCTGTTACGTTGGGAGAGCAGCATTCTCCAACAGTGCAGCCTTAAAGGCAAGGTAAAGGGCCAGGATTCGCCAGTGGGGTGAAAGAGAGAAGCCCAAAGTGGGTGAGTATTCATGCAAAACCATGAGAATTCCACTGGGCGGATGTGGAAATGGCATTGGTGCAGCCCTGATCCTTAGTGAGTGTTGATAGAGGGCTTGATCCCAAGTTGGAAGTGGAGCATACTGGGTAAAAACACAACTTTTTCTGCATCATCACAGCCTGAGAGGCTGAGTCAGGTTCCAGTCTGCCCGCATGGGTCCTGGCTTATCCTTAATTCCCCCCACTTCCCCATCCCCACTGCCTACTCTGCAGACTCCAAGCGTAGCCTCAGAAGGAAAGGTGTGAGGGTAGGGGTGTGTACAAAATCATGTGCCATCTAACATTTGAGAGGTGTATTAGGCAACTCTGTTCTTGTGTGACCATCATAGGCCATACTGAAACCTAAATGGTGTTGCTTACTACACTCCTTGACTGTACGGTAGAGCCTTTTGTCCCTAGTCTACAAACCCCTCTGCATGTTTCTGCATGAAATACTGTGAGCAACTGTAGCATAATGGTACTTATGCATCTAAGCAGAAAGTATTAGACAGTAGGGCTTTTTTTTTAGCTCCATTATAATCTTGTAATATTGTGTATTCTCTCTGTTGCAACCAAAATATTGTGAAGACAGGTGTGACAGAACAGTTTTAGTCCTTGGAAGATGAAGGCAGAAGATCACTGTGAGTTCAAGGGCAGCCCATGCGTCATCGGGAGACCTTGCCTCAAAGTAAATCAAATCAAGTCACACAAACAAACAAAAACCCAAACCAGCTAAGATTGTTCTATAGCATGTCCCGGTAAATGAACACACACCCTAATGGCTGTGCTTATCTTATTGGGCCCCGACTAGATGAAAAGCATAGGGTGTTCATTGCATTATTCTTTCAACTTTCCTTTAGGCTCACATGTTCTTTCAAAGTAAAATTATGGTGAAATAATGTTGGCAAAGGATTTCGTTATAACTTCAACAGAGCAAATTCAGCTTGCTAAGAGACATGAAGACATACACAAATTCACTAGGTGTTCAGATGTGCAATTTAACCTTAAAATGGGGGTCCACTTTATACCCAGGGCAGGAGCAGGGGGAAAACCACTGGGGAGCTGAGAGACACCTCAGAATCTGTGCCCTCTGAAAGATCTCCCATCCCTGGGAATGAGGCCCTTGGTGAGTTCATACAGCAGTGTCTATGCCCTGACAGTGTCGGCCATCTCACACTTGGCTCAGAAATTAAACTCATGCAGTCACCACTTCTCCAGACAGCTTCTTTAGAAAGAAAGAGAAAGAGAAGTAAAGTATACAGTAAGAGGCCCATGGAACATAAACCCCCCAGTGTGCAGTTGGTTCTAAAGCTGAGCTCATGTTCTTTTTCTTTTTCCGATTTTTCGAGACAGGGTTTCTCTGTATTGTTTTGGAGGCTGTCCTGGAACTCGCCCTGTAGACCAGGCTGGCCTCGAACTCACAGAGATCCCGAGTGCTGGCATTAAAGGCGTGCGCCACCAACGCCCGGCTAAGCTCATGTTCTTAATTTTCATCTACTGCCATCTGTTCTGGACTCCCACCACACTCAATCAGCACTTAATCGATAAGACAGCTTACTGGTGTAACATAGACTTCAGCTCTGAGGGTTCTGAGCCCTCACTCCTGGGCCCTTCTCCAGCTGGTGGTCAGCGCTGCCCATCTGTGGATGCATTTTGGGGCACAGGGCACCAAGAGCCCCTGGAGCATCCCTACTGTGTGCTCGGGCTCTGTACCTGTCTGCCTGCAGATGGTTTTCAGGACAAGCACCCCTACTGTGTGCTCAGGCTCTGTACCTGTCTGCCTGCAGATGGTTTTCAGGACAAGCACCCCTACTGTGTGCTCAGGCTCTGTACCTGTCTGCCTGCAGATGGTTTTCAGGATAAGCACCCCTGCCAGGCTCCACCCCCCTCAGTCAGTGTGAGAGTCGGGAGTCAGGCACAGTCACTCGACTCCGTGGTCAACGGGATTATCTCAAGGCACGTATTAACCACCAGCTCCTGCTGAGCTGTCATCTCCATGGTTTCTACTCAACCTTCTGAGACAACCATTGGATAAGCTCACACCACTACCAATTTCTAAGCCATTGCTGGTGATAGACTAGGCTGCTTGGTTCCCCACTTGCTTGTTTCAACCAGCTGGAGCCGAGGGGCTAAGGGGTAGGGTCCAGGACTGCCTCATTGGCAGAGTTTTGTCCCTTAGAAGAGTTTTTGAAGTGGCAACAAAAGTAATTTTATGATTGGAGGTCACCACCGAATGAGGAACTGTATTAAAGGTTGTCGCACTGGGAAGGTTGAGAACCACACTATGTAGTTCTGCCTGGTCTGCAGCTCACCATGTAGACTATGCCACCCATGAACTCACAGAGATCCCCCTGCCTCTGCCTCCCAGGTGCTGTGGTTAAAGGCGTGCACCTCATCTTCCCCACTCTCCTCCTCCCTGTCTTCTTCTTCAGGTGGTCTTGCTATGTGGTCTTGGCTGAACAGTGATTTGCTGTGTAGACCAAACTGTCCTCCAACCCTCCTTCCTCTACTTCCCAAGGGTTTGGGTTACAGACATGTGCCAATATTTGGAGGTTGAGTTTGCCTTTCCATGTACAGTGTTTGTTTTCTTTTTAAATCACTGTCATCTTCATGAATCAAGGTGTCTTGTGTGTCGTTGCTAGAGGCAAAACCAAAGAGAAGCCAGAGGCAAAGTCACTAGAGATCTACCAGGAGTCTTGAGGTTCAGAGATCAAACAACCCTTTCATGACGCAGATGCCCACAGCTGTCCTCATTCTGTAGCTGTCACGACAAGTTTTAGTTATTGTTTAAGAAAAGGTCTTGCCTGGAGCCTACTGTGATTGTCATCAGAGAGACTTCATCTAGCAACTGATGGGAGCAGATACAGAGACCACAGCCAACACTAAGTGGAGCTCAGGGAATCCTGTGGAAGAGGGAGAGGAAAGATTGTAGGAACCAGAAGGGTCAAGGATACCACAAGAACATGGCCCACAGAATTAACTAACCAGGGTGCGCAGGGGCTCACAGAGACTGAACCAACAATCAAGGAACCTGCATGGGTTTTACCTAGGCCATCGGCATATGTTATGCCTAGGTAGCTTGGTATTCTTGTGGGGTTCCTAACAGTGGGGGCAAGGGCTGTTTCTGACCCTTTTGCCTAATTTTGGGACCCTATTCCTCCTACTGGGTCACCTCACCCAGCCTTGATAAGAGAGTACATGCCTAGTCTTATTGTAACTTGTCATGGACTGTTTGGTTGATGTCCCTGGGAGACCTGCTCTTTTCTGAAGGGAAATGGAGGAGGAGCAGATCTGGGGGAGGGAAGTGAGTGGGAGGGATGGGAGGAGAGGAGGGAGGGGAAACGGTGGCTGGGGTATAATATATGAAAGGAGAAGAGATAAAAAGAAAGGAAAGATCTTGCTAGGCATGGGTACACCATTTTAATCCCACCATTGGGAGGTGGAGGCTAGCAAGCAGTCTTCGTGAGTTCGAGGTCAGTCTGGTCTACACAGTGAGTTCCAGGACAGCCAGAGCTGCATAGTGAGACCCTGTCCAAAAGAGAGAGAGAGAGAGAGAGAGAGAGAATGGTCCTGGGTTTTGGGTCTTCCTGACCTGAAACATCACTGTAACCATTGGCCTCTGGGAAACCCTACCCTACTGATAGTGACAGACTAAGGACACCCAACAGCTCATACACTAATCCCAGCTGCCCACGAGTATGTGACTTCACCTGACAAGATGCAGATGCTCTTAAGTGACGGCCCTGCAGATGGCGATCACCCTTTCTCTCCTGGCAGTCCAGTTTAATTTCAGGGCAATAGGCTTCCTCCCTGCCCCCCTCACTGACCGCCACCATAATAAGTTTCTCCACTGACACAGTAAGCCAGATCAAGCTGAACTGAAAAAGAATACCAGCGCGTTTATTGAGTAAAGCTACTCCCAGAAAGGTTTGCTGGTCAGAGAATGAGGCTGGAGAAGCAGCTGCGCTGGAACGAAGGCAGGGAGGTTTTATAGATTGTCCGCCAAAGCTGGCTTGTACCCGAGGATGGCCAAAAGCTGAGCAACGGGGGAGCCAAGAATGCAGAACTGGACTTTCAAAGACTCTTTGAGCGGGTGGGGTTTAGAGGGGGGAGAGGGAGGAGGGAGGGGAGAGGGAGGGAGGAAGGAAGGGAGGGAGGAAGGGAGGGAGGGGGAGGGAGGGGAAGGCAGGGAGGAAGGGAAGAAGGAAGGGAGGGAGGGAGGGAGGGGGAGGGAGGGAGGAAGGGGGAGGAAGGGAGGAAGGGAGGAAGGAAGGGAGGGAGGAAGGGAGGGAAGGAGGGAGGGAGGAAAGGAGGAAGGGAGGGAAGGAGGGAGGGAGGGAGGAAGGGAGGAATGGAGCTCCAACCAAACACACAGGACCTCAAAGGAGGTCATTTCCCAGCTAGGAGAAGAAAGGCATTCCAGATGATGGAGGGGTCAGAGAGATGAGATGGGAAAACTCACCCCTTGCTGGTTTTGAAGTTAAGGGGCCAAATGAACCAGGGAGTCCAGACAGCTTCCAGAAACCAGTAGAACAAGGAAGCATGTTCCTCGTGAGCTCCCACAAACCAGCCAGCCCTGCAGACACCGGACTGACTTTGAACTTGTGATCCTTCTGACTTAATGCTGGGGTGTGATTTTAAACAGGCCTTTGCTGGAGTTTATACCCCCCGGTAGTAAAGCTTCGATTGACTTCTAGACCATTTATTATTTACAGATAAGAATAGTAACTTTCATAATCCTAGCCCTTGAAAGGCACAGGCAGGTGGAGTTTAAGTAGAGCCATGGATACATTGCAAGTTCAGTGCTAGCGTGAGCTGCACGAGACCCTGTCCCCTTCCACTCCCCCTCCTTGCCCAAAAGAAAAGCAACTGTAACTTGTCCAAAGTGACATAGTGCAGAGGTGGTCTTTATGTCTGTGGTCACATTCTTTCTATCCCATCACGACTTTGTTGCTAACCAGAAAACGTACCTCTTGCTGCCATAACTGTCATAAACTTGGTGGTTAACTGATATGTTTTCTTTCTTTCTTTCTTTTCTTTTTTTCTTTTTTTTTCGAGACAGGGGTTCTCTGTATTGCTTTGGAGTCTGTCCTGGAACTCTCTCTGTAGACCAGGCTGGCCTCGAACTCACAGAGATCCACCTGCCTCTGCCTCCCGAGTGCTGGGATTAAAGGTGTACGCCACCAACGCCCGGCCGTTTTCTTTCTTTTTAAGTGTTTAATTTTATATAGGGTCTCTCTGTAGCTCTGGCTGTCCTGGAACTTGATATATAGACCAGGCAGACCCAGAACTCACAGAGATCCCCCTATATCAGTCTCGGTGCTGAGTTAAAGGTCTGTGCAACCAACTCCCAGCTTTAATTTATTTTTAGGGAAGGGACAATGGTTTGGTATGTCTCTATTCTTTACCAGAAATCCTACAGCTAAACAATACTCTTGTGAGGTTTAGTTAGTTATTTATTAATGACCTTCCAGGCAGTATACAGCGTCACATCTCCACCAGGATCAGCATTATGACAAAGATGCCCCCTCTTCTGACCAGCCATCAAAAAGTCCTGCACTTCCAAGCCTGATTCTGCAGGATGGAGGGTGGGTCCATCCCCAATGATCTTTGGTTGTTGTATTTGGAAGTCTGGAGAGATAGCTCAGTGGTTAAAAGCACTTGTTACTCTTGCGGAGGACCCAGATTCAATTCCCAGCATGACGGGGTGGCTCACAACCATCTGTAACTCTAGTCCCGTGCCCTCTTCTCAGGTGCCAGGCACGCACCGGGTGCAGGAAAATGCAGGCAAGACACTCATTCACATAAAATAAAATGAGTCTGAAAGTTTTCTTTAAAAGGTAATTTAAAAAAGTATGTGTGTGTGTGTGTGTGTGTGTGTCTGTCTGTCTGTCTGTGTGTCTGTCTGTCTGTCTGTCTGTCTGTGCATGCCCAAGGAGGCCACAGAACATTGGACGACCCTGGGGATTTCCTGCTGGAGTTACATGCAGTTCAGAGATGTCTGATGTGGGTACTGGACTCGGGTTAGCAAGCCTGTCACACAGTGCTCTTAACCAGCGGAACGGTCCCTCCAGTCCCTACAAAGGTATTACCCTGTGGGTCCAGAATTCTGATCTGAGTGTCAGACTGATGTTAAGGTGTTCCCAGGGCAGGGTAATCTGTGGAAGCTGAAGAAAAACAGGCCCCTTGTTTTACTGGTTTCTGGAAACTGCCTGGACTCCCCAGCTCTTGGGTTTCTTCCCTTCAAAACCAGCAAGGGGTGAGCTTTTGCATGTCATCTCTTTGACCCTTCCTCCTTCTGGGATGCCTTTCTTCCCCCAGCTGGGAAAAGATCTTCCTTTGAGGTCCCCTGAAATTAAACTGGACTGCCTGGAGAGAAAGGGTGATCGCCCATCTGCAGGGCCGTCACTTAAGCGCATCTGCATCTTGTCAGGTGAAGTCACATACTCATGGGCAGCTGGGATTAGTGTATGCGTTGTTGGGTGTCCTTAGTCTGTCACTATCAGTAGGGTAGGGTTCCTCCGAGGCCAGTGTTTGTAGTGGTGATGAAGGTGCAGTGTAGCTCAGCCTCCTGATGTCTGCTGGACTTGTATGACCAAAACGACACAGATGAACCCCTTCCACATAGCCTACTCACAGTTGGGCCCCATGCCCCAGTGAGACAACTGGGAATTCTCTGTAGTAAGCAGAGGGGTGTTCAGGGCAAGGCAAGGCTGTGGTGTTTGTCCTCATGACGTCAGAGCTCAGACTGTGGACCTGATCTGGCAGTTCTTAAACCCCCAGTGTTGCTGACATCTGGACAGTGTGGGGAGAACCAAGTTCCAGACCTTTAGATGTTCAGCTTTGGAAGGTAATACGAATGACAATAGTGCAAAGACTTTCATACACACCCAGGAAGGGCAAGGATTGCTCCCTCCCCCACCCTGCTTCCCACCTGTAATGTAAGATCGCTTAGAAGTCAATCAAGGTGTAGGGACAGCAGCTCTCAGGCATCCTCAGGACCTGTCACATTGTATCCTCCAGGGGAGCCTTGACATAGACACTACAAGCTGGCCTAAGACTGAAGGGACCGCAGGATGTCATGAAGATATAGCTCATCATCACCAAGGCGAAAGTGAGAAATCCAGGCCGCTCCTGCTGAAGACTTGTAAGGCTCCGTCTGAGGGCCGCTTTCTTGTTTCTTGGAAACAGCATGAGGGTCCCTGATGCCATCTCCAGCACACATTAGAAGCTAGGCTTGGGCATCTGTTCACCTGTGTATTGGTGTTCTGGAAGCTGAGACATTGTCTGTGGTCCAGGGAATTCCTGCCAGTGTCCTTATAGTCACTCACCCTGGTCACACCCACACCTTGTACCACAGATGCAGTGCCCTAGCTGTCCCCACCCATCCCTGACACCAGCTGCTCTGTGCCCTCCCACTCACTCTCACATGCCCCAAAGCCCCTAGGGAGTCACCAGCCCACTGCCAGTATCTGGGGGAGGCCCTGAGGGGGTGCCTGGAGGAAGGTTGGGCTGCTGGAAACTTTAGTCTAGCAGGGACCGTTAACAGCTGCAGAAAACCCTTAAAACACAAAGGAACCTCAAAAGGGAAATTTTTGTAAAACCTGATGTCTTGACGTATGAAGACTTTTCTGAAAGGGTTCGTCATTCCCTGCTGTGGAAGAAAAAAAGGCAGCTCTCGCCGGCTACCTCAGCCCACAGGACCGGTTCTCCAGGGGGTTCTGACACAGACACTCACCTCCCCCAGACACCCCTAGCAGGCCACAGGGTGTAGGCTGTGCATATGCAAGCCCACACAGACGCGTTCCTGCATCTGCCTCTTTTAGACACTTACCTCTTCTGTCCGCGGCCACTCTCTCGGGGGCAGGCAGGCTCCACTAAGAAACTTTGAGAAAGCTCTCCCACCGTCACCTGGCCCTGTCCTATGCCACCCGTCACAAGAGTTGGCAGCATGTGGTGAGGAACTTTACCTCTCTTTCTTCCTCCCCACAGCTGCGGGACAGCTGGTGTGTGTGCATGCTTGCGTGCGTGTGTGTGTGTGTGTGTGTGTGTGTGTGTGTGTGTGTGTGTGGAGTGGGGGTGTGAGCGGATGTGGTTCTAAGAGGGTGGGTTTTTCTCACCTCCATGCTTCATCCGGCTGCAACTCATTCCAACCCCCAGTCATGAAGGCTTTTGTGATTCCTTTAAGAGGCGACACTGTGGTAAAAGAACATTAGATAGCCCCTTTGGGTGCTGCGGCTGTCAGCCTCACCTTCCTGCCACTGTCAACCAGGTCCTCTTCACCTCTCCACCCACAACAACTTAGTAGGTTTGGTAGTCTCCGCTGCAATGCCTCCTCTCTGTGTGACTCTGTTTCTTTGTGTGTCTCTCTCTGAGACAGGGTCTCAGTACATAACCCTGGCCAGCCTAGAACTCAGGGTGTAGACCAGGCTGGCCTCTGACTCACAGGGATATCCCTGTGTCTGCCTCTGTCTCCTGATTTCTGGGATTAAAGGTGTGTGCCACCGCATTTGGCCAAGTGTCCTTTTTCTCTGGGGATGAGTATGCTGGGACAATGTTTGTACTGTATGCATGTCTACATGTGCTGGGAAGTGAGCCCAGACCATAATACTCCTGGTGTACCATTGAGCTACACCTCCAGCCCCTAGGACCTCTAAAAGAAAAAGTTAACTACACAAGGGGACATTTCTTTGTCTCACTTCTTCCTAGGAAGCCACGGCCACCACCTTCTTTTTTAAGTTTTGTTTTATATTATTTTTGTGTGTATGAGTGTTTTCCTGCATGTATGTTTGTACACTGTGTACCCACCAGGCTGGTGGTCAAAGAGGGCATCAGATGTGCTGGAACTGGAATTACAGATGGTTGTGAACAGCCTTGTGGGTGCTGAGAATCGAACCAGAGCCCTTAACCACTGAGCTTTCTCTCTATGCCTCCACTTCCTTCTTGAGCCCCACACTCTTTCCTTTCTTCTCTCCCTAAGAGGTATGTGAGAACTACTGTTACTCCAGGCTAGCCCTTCAGCGCAGCCCAGAGCTGCTCCTGAGCCCCTGCTGAGTGGACATTGATCCCTGATACTGTTCTGGTGTGGGAACACAGAGGACGCCAGAGGAGAGGATGCTTGGCGAAGGAGACAGACACCTGGTCACAGGATGATCAGGGAGACAGCAGGAAAAAGCTGGCAGTGGGGAGTCTGGGGTGTTCACAGAGGAAAACCAGTTTGTTCCTGCCTCCCTTTGCATCCTTGAACAAGCTGTCACATTCCCGGGAATGGTTTCTGGGTGACAGTTCAGCAAGCACAAGGAGAGTTAGGTTCATCTCAGAAGTGCTCCATGCTAAATGGGGAACACGAACCTTGTCTAAACTACCAAATTAAGGACACCCTCCAAACCGCAGAGTGAGCAGGAACTAAGACTCCATTAGTAGGAACCCCAAATCCGATGGTTGAGGATGAAGTGCAGCCTGGAGCAGTGAATGGGGTGTGCCCTGGGTCAGTTAAGAAAAGAGTCCCAAGTGTACACTGATCTCAGTGAATGACAGCCAGGAGGGAGTGGCCAACCAGGGAACATCGCAGACTGGTGTTGGATCTTAGCACTGGGAAGGACAAAGTCGGTCTAGGATAGGTGGGGAAGGGCACTGGCTGGACACAGGTCCAGGCTAGCATCTGTAATTTGGACCTCAGTAGCCCTCCCTGGCCCTCTTCCGCTTCATTGAGTCCATCTGCCAAACGCCTTCCTCTTTCGTGACTTGGGGGCGCAAAGCACTGAGCCTCACAGTCAGAGAGAACTCAATGCCTAAGAGAGGAGAGTGGCCAGTGGATTAGCTGGAAGACCTTGAGGCAGAGGTGCCCAAGGCTATGGCTGACGCCATCACCTATGCAGACCTGCGCTTTGTGAAGGTGCCCTTGAAGAACAGCATCTCTAACCACTTAGGACAGGGTAAGTCCTGCTTGCTGCCCCCTTCATATCCTACCCCATTCCACAGACCTCAGTGCAGACTCCTCCTACTTCGGACCTTTCCTCTTCCAGACTGTGAGGCCTATGAGGATGGAGAGCTCACCTATGAGAATGTGCAAGTGTCTCCGGTCCCAGGAGGGCCATCAGGCTTGGCTTCCCCCGCTCTAGCGGACAAAGCAGGTGTGGAGGCCCAGGGATGGGTCTACGAAGGGTGTCTTTATCTGGGGAGTACAGAGCAGTCCTGGAGACAGCAGCAGGGCCGTCCCTGAGAACAAGCTAAGAGCCAGGGGCAAGATGAAGGGTCCCCAAGAGTGCGGGTCCTCGCGGTAAGCTGGGGGGAGGATCAGGGCAGCCGGGTGCGAGATTGGTGGGGAACAAGAAAGGGAAGAGATTTGAAGAAGGATGAGGAGTCACAGACAAGGGACCCCAAGGAAATGATAAGGAGGAGATAAAGGGAGGCCCAGGAGAGAGAGGAGGGAATGAGGTGTGGATAAGGCGACCCCAGAAGGGCTTCCGGAGTGACGACTTCCCTGAGTGGCATTTCTGGGGGCAAGCAGGGTGAGCAGGGTTCACGCCCCCAAGCCGCGAAGGCGACAGGGACAGGGGTCCTGGGGCAGCAGAGGAAGCCCCGAGAGTGAGTGTCCCACAGCACTTAGTCCAGGACAGACTAAGGTCTCAGCATGGTGTGGGGCAGGGGAGAAGGGAATTACCGGGACTTTCCACCCTCACTTGGGACGTTCCCCTTCCGAAGGCGTTAGGCCAGAGCAGCCAGCTGCGTCATGGAGCTCCGTGAAGTCGCCGGCTGTAGGGCGGATCCCCCGTTGTGCGTATCCCCCTCCCACCCCCTGCAGCTCTAGTGAGCCTTCATCAGCAGCTCACCCGCGGGCGCTGGGCAGGGATGCCAGATGCCGTGTGCGTGTGCATCCTGGAGGGCTGGGGCTGGGTTCTGCCCTCTGCTGATCTTTCTGGGGATGAGCCTTTGGGACTTCTTTTGGGACTTCAACGACAGCCCAGCCACTCCTCTGCCTACCTCAACCCGGTAGCGATTGATTGTTCAATTGTTTTCACCTGCAGTCAATACAGATCACAATTCCCCTGTTCCTTTGGTCCCTAGTCACGTGGCTCCAGGCCCCTTTCCCTGTATGAAGTTTAGTTCCTTCTGCAGGGTAATGTCCCCCTCAATCCTTTTCACCAGCTACAATCCCCAGCCCCTACTCCCTGACTGACAGAGCTTTCCATTCTCTACGTGTCTCCACGTGGACATTCTTCCTTGGGACTGACTGCACGTCATCTCTGTCCCCTAAGGTCCCACAGTCGGCTTGCAATACTACTTGCTGGGCCTTCTCCTGGCCTGTCTGATGTTAGGGGTGGCTGCCATCTGCCTTGGAGTTCGCTGTGAGTATGGGTATCCCATTCCCCACTCATTCTAAACATCTCCCCTTCTCTCTCCGCCCAATTGGCCTTTCATCGGGAAGGCTCAAAGACACTGTCCTGACATCCTTGGTTTTGGGTCTGGTCTGTCCTGCCTTCCTAGATTACCTTACCCAGTTTAGGAGTTCCTTAAACTCTGGGCAGCCAGATCTTAAATTCAGCACATTATACAAGAAGTTACAAGAAGCAGAAAGGTTGATACTACAACCTTAGAGCAGGAGGAAGTGCTCTCAAGTCCATGTCCCGTTCCCCCCCCCCTGCAAACCAGGTTCTCCATATGCAGCCCAGGCTGGCCTGGCTCCTGTCTCAGCCTTCCCTGGGCAGGGATACAGGTGTGTGTTGCTACACCCAACCAGTCTCTTCCATGGCCAAACAGATCTGCAGGTGTCTCAGCAATTCCAGCAGGTAACCAGGGTTTTGGAAGCCACCAATAGCAGCTTGCGGCAGCAGCTCAGGCAGACGACAGCTCATCTGGGCCAGAAGGAAGACGATCTGAAGGAGTCTCAGAAAAAGCTGACCCAGAGTCAGACCACTTTACAGGAGAAGCAGAAAATCCATGAAGCCACTGAGCAGCAACTACAAGCCTGCCGGTCCGAGGGACAGAGGACCAAGGAGAACTTGGAGAGGGAGGAGCAGCAGAGGAGGGACCTGAACCAGAGGCTGGTCAGTGTTCAGGACTCACTGAGGCGCTTCCTCTCCTGTTCTTCAGGTATCTCGTGGGATCAGGGAGGTGGGGCAGGCGGCCTGTGAGGGATAGACTGAATCCAGGAGTTTCTAGAGATTGGGTTTGCCTAGTTCTCAGCAGCCAGTGAGCTATTCAGGAAACGGGCGGTGAGTCAGAGCTGTGGCTGACCTGGGTGGGCTATGCGACTTGGTTACTGAGAAGGACCAAGCTGCACACTGGGTTTAGAGGGAAGCACCCAGCTCTACAGCAGACCATGGGGCAGGGGCACAAAGAAATCTCCAGCAACCTACATCACGTTGTCCAAATGTCTTTCTGACCCAGGGGGCATCTAGATGCCTCCACCAAGCTTAAGACAGCAAGATCACAAGCACACACCCTCAGCCCTCGCCGTCTTATGCTTGTGTGCTTTTGTGAGTGTGGCTTCTCCACCCCCACTCCCGTGTGTGCCATTGGAGACTAGTTTTTGAGATAGACTTTCTCCACTCAACAGAGCATGGCCATGCTCAGCTCTACTGTTTCAATGGGTGCAAGGTATCTGAACTAAAGTCCTCATGCTTTGTGCCCAGCTATCTCCTAGCTGCTCTCCTTAACCTTACTTTCCAAGACTCTCAGTCCTTGCCTGTGCCGCCACCCATTCCCGTATCTGCACTTCAGGCCTTGACAGCCCATGGTGCTCATCTGTTCACAGCTTGGTTGGAGACATCTACTCGGATTGTTAGCTTCCCAGCCCTACAGGGTTCTCTGCTCTTCTGCCTTCCCAAGGCATCCAGTCTGTGAGTCCCAGTTTGCTCTCTTCCCAACAGATGTCTCTTATCCTTGCTTCTCTCTCAATCCGTCTTGGGTTCCAGGGACTATTACTCAGTCACCCACCCTTTTGTTCCCTGGTGCTGGTGCACTAGACTGATTGAAAACTCAGTCCTGGATGAACCCAGCTGACAGCTTAGTGTAGGCCTGTGACAAATTGTACAGTTGGTCATCTTGGTGCCACTGAGGCTCTGCTCTGCAATAGTCAGTTTGCTTTCTATGGTGACTCCTTCTCCATCCTGCCTTTTCTATCATGTTCAGCAGGTGCCACCATTGTCAACTCATCACAAAGATTCCACCGAGTCTATCTGGGCATTTGTGTTCTGCAGATCCTAATCTTTTTAGGAAAACTGCCACAGCTGGGCGTTTTTCTTAACTACCCACCCAAATGGAGTCCATTCTTCACAGTAGCACCAGAAATCTCCCTCCTTTTTTATTTCTTCCATTTGTCCATTTTCTTTTTTTTTTTTTTTTTTTTTTTTTTTTTGGTTTTTCGAGACAGGGTTTCTCTGTGGCTTTGGAGGCTGTCCTGGAACTCGCTTTGTAGACCAGGCTGTTTTGGAGGCTGTCCTGGAACTCGAGCTGTAGACCAGGCTGGTCTCGAACTCAGTGATCCGCCTGCCTCTGCCTCCCGAGTGCTGGGATTAAAGGCGTGCGCCACCAACGCCCGGCCCATTTGTCCATTTTCATGTGTGTGTGTTGCACGTGCGTATGTGTGCACGTGTGTTGTACGTGCGTATGTATGCATGTGTTTGTGTGTGCACAGGTTGATGCAGTTTCATCTTAGATTGCCTTCTACTTTATTCACTGAGGCAGGATCTCTCGGCCATCAGAGCTATATGACTATGGCTGGCTTTCTGTGGAGATTCTCTGACCTGCTTTCCAAGGCAGGTAAGATAGGATGGCTGCCACTCACTTGGTATTCACCTGGTGTCTTAGTTACTTTTCTATTGCTGTGACAAAACACCAAGACCATATTGTTAAGAAGTAGAATGTTTCCAGAAAAGGCAAAAGGATTGCAAAGATCAAGGACTAAAGTTGATGAAGATGTCAAGAGTAGACCTGAGGGACTACTGTTAGCAACCAGCCACCTAACTGGTCACTTTATTCCAAGTGTTGTGACTTACATATTCTTTCTGCTTCGTAGACACCTGCTGCCCGCCGGGATGGACACAGGAACAGAGAAGATGCTTCTACATCTCAAACACTCCCAGAAGTTTGGAGGACAGCCGAAAATACTGCACATCTCTGTCCTCCCAACTAGCTGCATTCAGGGAATCTGATAAGTATTATCAAGTGAGCACACCTTTATCCATATTCTGAAGTGGGTACCATTGGTAAAGGGAGGCATGTCATTGAGTCAGGAGTGTCAGTGCCTGCCTGCTGCATGCTTCCCTGTGACAGACATGGACAGTCACACTGGTGCCAGTAGATGTGGCACCAGCTTCAGCATCTTCTCAGTATTTTGTTTTTCCTATTGCTTAGCATTGGTGAGAGCCGGTATGTCTGAACCATCTCCTCTTTAGTGAGAGCCGGTATGTCTGAATCATCTCCTCTTTAGTGAGAGCCGGTATGTCTGAACCATGTCTTTAGTGTGTGTGTCTTGGCTTGCTGGGCTGCCCCTTGACAGCTTAACTGTTCATCGGCTCTCATGCCTCTCAGGCAGAGTGGGGCCAGACCCTGACACTCGATTACCCAAGACCAGAAGTTCACAGACGGACTCCACTCCAAATTCTTTTTTTTTTTCTTTCTTTCTTTTCTTTCTTTTTTTGGTTTTTCGAGGCAGGGTTTCTCTGCATTGTTTTGGAGCCTGTCCTGGAACTGACTCTGTAGACCAGGCTGGCCTTGAACTCACAGAGATCCGCCTGCCTCTGCCTCCTGAGTGCTGGGATTAAAGGCGTGAGCCACCAACGCCCGGCCCACTCCAAATTCTTACTTAGCTTGGAGGTCTAATGGAGAGTGGGTTGTTGTCTAGCGGCACTGCAAGGAAACTGGGAAATTAATTCATGTATTAAATGGGCATGGTCTCTTACTAAGTAAAACATAGGCTTCCTAGGGTGTCCCCATTTTATTTCATAATCTCACTGCTTTTCACAGAGCTATCTGAATCCCCCTCAGGTTTCTCTGCCCAGCGGCCTAAAGGAGTTGTTAAATGATGGGATGTCATATTGGATCCAGAAGACAAGCCATACTGAAGAACACCATTGGCGAGATAAGACTTGGGGGTATTGTCAACTCAGTGTCTTATAAAGGCATACTAATAGGATTTCTTTGCTAGGCCCTGCTCCCAAAACTTCCACAAGTCAGCATTGTAATTCCTTGTTTCTTCTGTTTAACAACTGTTTAAGAGGGGTACCCTGTGGCAGTCAGAAGACAGCTTGCAGGAGTCAGTGGACCCCAGGGATTGCACTCTGTGGTCGCTAGGCTTAGAGCCTTCACCTGCTAAGCCATGTCACTGACCTGCATTCTTACTCTACACTCCATACATAGTGCCTGGAGGTCTCTAGCACACACTTAAAAAGTTGCAATGGTAGATTCCTTTAATCCTAGCACTCAGGAGGCTGAGGTAGGACTGGGAGTTAATCGACTGCCATGTCAATAAAAACACAAAAGCAATTGTTAGGTTGATGTCTGTGTCATCTGTCAGAGGGAGCTGAGAACTTAGCTAGGGCTTCATAGCCAGAGAGGAGTGCTAACATTGAACTCCCTAAGCCTTGACAAGATGCCCAAACTGTGGCTGCGTTTGCTTAGTCCACGACAACTGGGCCACCAGGACTCCCCAGCAGACAGTGGAGCAGCAAAGTAGCTGCGGTTTCTCCCAGGAGCCCTGAAGTAGTGTGGCTACTTCATGACCCGTGGTTTTGAGACGGTCTCACTACGTAGTGGCTGGCCTGGAACATGCTATGTACGGTTGCTTGCCTGACTCCTGGGTTTAAAGGGATTAAAGGCGAGTACCAGCGATCCCAGCTCCTTAGGTGGAGTTTTCATCTTTTATGACTTTGGTGAGCTTTCCTCCATGGTCTTAAGACCTGTTTTAGCTGAAGTTCTGTCCCTGAGTCATGTGGCCTTAGCAGGAGATGGGGACTTGGACTAGGCTTTATAAAGAGAAAGGGGAAGGGAGGGGCCAGAGTGTATCCCAACTCTACTCACAACACCTGCATCTTATTCTCAAAGCCCATACTGTAGCAATCTAAAAAACGTTTATGGGTCATGGAGAAGTCGTCTATCAGAGTGTATAGAGCCTTACCCCTGCATTTGTGAGCTGGAAGCTTTCAGGTTTCCTGATGGGGATCACCCGCACTGAAATGGTAAGCATAGGTATAGAGATAGGACACGGGTAGACAGAGACCCAGGGGACAGAGGGTAAATTTGTTCCTGAATTTGTCACATTCACAACCTCCAGTGGCTCAGTTTGCTTATGCAGGGAATGGGGACAGATATGGCCTGGAACAGGGGAGCTGGCAGACAGGGTGAACGGGGTTAGGGTTAGTGACAGTCAACTGGAGCTCACTGATGCTTTATTCTTCCAGACCCACGAACAAGAGCTTGTGACCTACATCCTTAACCTGTGGCCTGCCAATTCTGAAGACTGCGATTCCTCCAGCATTCCTTCAGCTAAAAGATCCTGGCCTGGCAACCTGCTGCCTGCTTGAAAGCCACCCTAGAAACTGGACTATTCCTGGGAAGAGAGTGAGGACTTTGGCCTTCCTTAAGAACTTCCCAAACTGGAGAGGGTTAGGGGAGGAGGGCGCACCGCTGAGTGGATGGATGGCCCGGAGCCAGCCAGGCACTTTTATTGAAGTATTTTTAAATAATTCGCAGGTGTTAGTCTTGTGTGTCAGCAATGCTGTGTCTAGTTCAGTGATCCCCATGGGAAGGCGAACCCAGGGGTCGGATAGGAAGTGCTCTGTCCATTGAGACCATGCGGAGGCTCCCCTAGACGGGGAGAAGAACCAGTCAGCCCATCTGGGGTTGGCTTTGTCCAGCAAGTGTGCTCTGACCTTTCAGGCTACCCTGAAGGCCAAGACTGGAAGCTTGAGATCATAGGCCTTGCTAAGAGCGTGCCCCAGGCAGCTGCAGGCTGGGTGTGGGTGGCTTAGCATGGTGCCCTCGGTGGCAGAGAAGACTGCCCGCCTCACAGTTCAGGTTGCGGTAGCGGGCAACAGCTGGGGTGGGGCGGGGACACATGGATAGGAAGCCAAAGCTGAAGGGGCCAAGGCAGCAGCCAGGGCAGGGCAGGCCCTCCTCGGGCTCCCGGGGAGCTGATGGCGGCGGCGAGGGTTCTGTCCGCTCCAGGGCTGCTGCCCGGGGAAGGCTATGCTGTGCTCGGTTCCAGGGCTCCCCAGCCCATCCTTGTGGGGAATTGACCACCACTGCAGGGGGGTTGTTATTGAGGGCAGGTCCTGATCTAGGAGACCAGGGTTGAGAGGCCGAGGAACAAGTACTGATGAAGTTGTCAGTGGCCACAGCCAGAGGCAGCTGGGGAGCTGGCCCTGGGGGCTCTGGCTCAGGGCTGCTGCCCTCACACTCCATTTTTTCTTCAGCTGAGGGGCCCAAGGGAGAAGGGCCGGGACCTGGCAGTGCAGTCTCCATCCGTCGGGGGAGCTCAGGGGATGAAGGTAGAGAGCGACAGCGGCGGGCAGGCGTCTCAGGCTGGACCAGGGTCTCTGGAGTGGTCACCAAGGGCATCTGGGTAGAGGTCATTGGTGACGGCAGTACCAGGGGTAGCGGAGTGGCCGGCTTGCAGGGTGTGTCCAGGAGTTTGATCTTGCCACCCCTGAGGTCTTCCCGAAGTGAGAAGGGGTTGACACGTGTTAGATTGTCCCCCCAACTCGGGGGTGATTCTGGTGAAGGAGGCAGGAAGAGGTCTGACCGGCTGCGGGAGAGCCGGGGGTCTGGCCTGGGAAGCGTGGCAGAGGGACCTCCTCTTGGAACAGACCCTGTAGAAAAGGAGGTGTGTGACCACTGTTCTCTTGGTGGGACAAGAGAGGGAGTCCTACAGGTGCTCTGAAGGGAGGACTGCTACTTCCAGCTACCTTTCCTCCTTAGGAAAAAAAGATGTACTCATATGTCTATGTATACACCTGAGTGAACCACAGGGTGTTGGAGCTGTAGGTGGAAGTCAGAGGTCAGAGGAAACTTTCAGGACACAGGTCCTTCCCCAAGCGCCTTGACCCGACGAGCCGTAGAACCAGCCCCTCCTGTACCTTTTCCTTCCTGCTGCGGCTTTCTTGGGCTCCCTGAGATGCCTCTCCATCCAACCTGACTCCACCTGACTCCGCCTTTCCAACTAGTAGGTCCACTCAGCCTCCTCCGGATAACCGGGTCTCAGGAAAGACAGGACTTGAGTTGGGTCAAGTTGCTCACTTACCCTGATTGTATGTCAAGGGAGCCTTAGGAAGGGCCATCTTGGAGAGGGGAGCAGGCTCAGGCAGCTGCTCCAGGATCTGTTCCAGGTGCTGGGTGATTTCAGTAAAAGGGGCACGGGTGCTGGGTTCCATCTGACGGATAAAGACAGGACAGTCATTCGGGGCTCAGGAGAAGGTGAGTTCCCCTCCCACTATCACGGGGACTCAGAAGACAACTCAAGGACGGTCAGGAGGAGAGAAGCTTACGCTGCAGCAGTGGATAGCCAGAAGCAGGAAAGGCAGCGGGCAGTCCTTCCCCACCAGAGTTCGAAAAGCAGGCACATCCAGGCCAAAGTCCTGTGGGGACAGAGGAGGGACTGCCAAGTTAGCCATCCTTGGGCTCTGCTTGTGCCCCACGGTGAGGATCTCAACCTCTAGGAGCCCTCCTTGGTTATGAGGCATTAGTGTGGAGGGTACTTCACCTCAGTACGGGGTAGGTAGTCAGGGTCCGCAGGTACTCGGGCAATGAGTTCACAGAGGACAATTCCAAAGGCGAAGACGTCGGCCTGGAGGTAGGAGATGGACGGTGCCAAGGGGAGGAGTTGGCAGCAATCTTGTGTTGGAAGGGTGGCAGTGAGGGCATGGGGGGTTCTGAATATTTAGTAGGTTGCTGTTGGATGGACTCCATCTCAAGGTGTCTGGGAGTTGAGGGTATGGGTGTTCTGAGTATTTAGTAGGTTGCTGTTGGATGGGCTCCATCCCAAGGTGTCTGGGGGAATTGAGAGTATGGGGGTGTTTCTGAGTATTTAGTAGGTTGCTGTTGGATGGGCTCCATCCCAAGGTGTCTGGGAACTGAGGGTATGGGGGTTCTGAGTATTTAGTAGGTTGCTGTTGGATGGGCTCCATCCCAAGGTGTCTGGGAGTTGAGGCTCTAACCTTCTCATCATACATCTCAAGGTGTCTGGGAGTCGAGGCTCTTACCTTCTCATCATACAGCTCTCCCCGCAACACCTCCGGAGCCATCCAGTATGGGGAGCCCACCACAGCCAAAGGCTCCTTCCTTGCCCCTTCCCTGCAGGGTCAGGTCAGAACGGCCTATTCAGACATCTCCTCCCGGGAAAAGGGGATGGGTGAGCCTTCTCCCCACCCACGGAAAATATCACTGGGGGCTTCACTCATGTATAGGGGATCCCTGGGAGGCTTGGGGTATGAAGGACATTCACCTCACCTATACACAGGAATCTTTTCAGCCAGTCCAAAGTCACCCACGACAGCTGTGAAGCCTCCGTCTTCCCTTCGGACCAGACAGTTCTGACACACACACATAGGCATCCTCACACACCCATCACCTGCTTCTGGCCTTCCAGTATCTACCCAAAATCCAACCTTCCCTCCCAGTTCTCCAATGCACCCCACTGTTGCGGCATTGTTGTCAATGCTCAGTGTGACAGTTCCTCAGAGCACTCCTAGCCCTGTTCTGTAACCATTTCCAACACCTTGTCACCACAGCATCCTGACTTATTTACTACCCACAGGCCAACATCCACAGGCCAGTCACAACGTAATCTCACAGACCCTCTCAGGTTCCCACCCGCCTCGGCCAGCCTACCTTGGAGGTGAGGTCTCGGTGAAACACACCTTTGGCATGTAGGTACCGTAGGCCTTGGGCAATGTCCAGAGCTAGATGGAGCCTGACTGGCCAGGACAGGGCTTCAGGGGAGCTGAGCAGCTGTTCAAGGGTGCCCCCATTCATATACTGGGACACAGGGGAAAGAGAAGGGAGTGACTGTCTGCCACTGATAAGCCGGGTGACACTCAGGAGAATCACAGAGGTCAGAAGGGTGAGTGTGCTCTAAGGTTCCCACTTATACCCCAGGCTGCCCTGTCCACCCCAGCAGCGCTATGTGTAGCTGTGTCGGCTAACACATTCAAACACAATCAGGTAATCAGCTCTGTCACTCCAGCTATTGCTTTAGCGGAGCCCACATGTGGCTGCTGGTTCCTGTGTTGGACACAGGCACAGACATCTCCATCACGGCAGAAAGTACTATAGCTCAGCACTGTTTCCAGGGGTACACGGAATGACTCCAGCTGAGGATTCTGGTTATGTGGTTTGCCCAAAGGAAAGTTCAGGACGCCTCCTGTTGGAGGAGGTCCCAAGGTCCCAGGTGGCTCCTTTTTAATCTCCCTGCAGATTCACCAAGCCCCCTGACACTTTCACTTGGAGGTGTGGCGCCTTCCCTCTCTCCTGGCCTATGCTTAATGCTCACCTCCGTCAGAGCGTGCAGCTGCCCCTGGTGCACACAGACCCCCATGAACCTGAAAGACGAAGAGAAGACGGAAGGGCAGGCTGTAAGAGCCCGGGCTCCATCGCATCTCCCTCCTTTCCCGAGGGTCCTTTCCTCCCCGCCCCACCCCTGTCCAGCAAGGCCGTTCACCTGAGGATGTTAGGGTGCCGGAGCCGGTTCATCAGCTGAACCTCCCTTAACGTGTTGCTCCGGTTACTGGGGAGCTTGTTCATCTTCAGCACCATGACTTGCCCCGACTGTCGGTGCCGAACCTGGGGGCGGCAAGGATCCGAGTGTGCCCGGCAGGTTGGGTGGCTCGCTAAAGTACTGGATCGCTAAGCCGGGCTGTGGGCCTCGTAAGTTCTAGCCTCCCGTCGAAGGCTCGGTCCCGCCCCTCTACCCTCCCTGTGGGTCCTACCTTGTAGACCTCAGAGAAGAAACCGGCCCCGATCTTCTCTGCGCAGTCGAAATCGTCCACACGCGCCAGGCTGGACACGGCGCTGCGGAGGGCCCGGTAGGAGGAGGGCCGGCCCCTGCCCGGGCCTCCGCCTGCGCCCCCCGGCCCCTCCCCCGGCGCCTCTCCGGGCCCGGGGCCCCGCAGTGGGGGCCGTTCCCCGGCCATGGCCGGGCCCCCAGGCCGGGCCTGCTTCACATGGCCGGGTCCCCGGGACCCGGGCAGGCCGCGCTCGCCATGGGCGCCGGCCCAGTCCGATCCCGGGTGCCGGGACTCCCGCTCCCGCCGGGAGGACGCAGGACCCGCCGAAGGTCCGGGGCCCGCCCCCGCCGCCCCGGCGAGCTGGGCCCTGGGGAACGCCGCGGCTCTCCGCTCTGCGCGGGGCCTGGGCCTGGGCCGGGCGGCGGCGGCGGCGGCGCTCCGGGGCGCCGGCGGGCGGGCTCCCCGCGGGCGGAGGCGGGCGGGCGGCTGCTGCTCCGCTTCGCCGCCGGGCTCAGGCTGCGCGGCCTGCCCGGGGCGGGGCTGGGCCCGGCCCGCGGTTAACTCCTTGGAGCCCGGGCTGCGGCCCGGCCACGCCCCCTCAGGTACGCTCCCGCGCGTAGGCCGGCCGTGAATAACTGAGGGACCTAAGGGTTGACCGCGGGCGCCAAGCCGCCGGCGCCCCGGGCTCCACGGATCAACCCCGCTGCCTGCGCCCCGCCCCGACTTCCCATCTCTAGGGTCTT